TGCCTGAGATCCAATGCATGCTCCAAGGCCAGGCCCTCCACGCCAGAAGGTGCAGAAAACGCAACGCCGGTGTTCGGGTTCATGTGCGTAACACGACGCTTGTTGCCCACCGCACCGCACTTTGCAGCAAATCGTGCATTGCAGCTAAATGGTCAATCGGAGTTTTTCTCGACTGATGCGGATATCGACTGATGAACCATACAGGCCGAAAAGACGTCTCGGGATCGGGCGGACTCTGAGTTCCCTCATCTCATCAATTGATTTTTGACCGGTTCTTGATTGCTCGTGGTCGCCGAAGGTGGTCTCGTCGACCTTGCTTGCAACCTCGCCATTCTTGATATAGCGGTACGGTGGTCTGGTGTGGTTACCTTATCTCTGACACTTTTGCAGAAGATCGGCAATCAAGAACCGGTCAAACGATATGTCAAGCCAAACGCAGCGAAAAGACGGGAGGGCCTCTCACTTACACACTACCCACCACGCCGTACATGTGCATTGCATACGGTATGTATGTAGATGCACCTACCACCCTGAGTGAGCGGCGCGTTGCATGCATTGGTTGCCGCTTCGACTAACGCACCAGCATCTTTTGATCTGTTTTTTTTCTTCTCTTTTCTTAACCCACCAAATCCCCGTATGGATGGATGGGTATACTATGCGAAGCACGAAGGGCCTGAGCCCACGGGTCCCTCCCTGACAGCAAAGACACCACAAGAACAACTCCCACTGTGTCTTCCACCCAAGTCATCAGATCATGAGCCAAGAATATCAGCCAGCAATTTGCCATTCGCCTATCGTTGGTTTTGAAGTCCACGAAGACGACGAAAGAGCATCCCTTTCTGGACTAGCCTCTCACCGGCCAATCAGCCAGGACATGGCTGGTACCTACCCTGCATGAGAGGGGCTTGGTGGCGGGGAGGGAGGGGGTGGCTGCAGCGAAACACCTGCTTTGCTTTTTGCACAGTGCGGGGGTTCAGCATTTTCAACTGCTTCCAAATGAAGAACGCCTCCCCAGCAGTTCCGATACAATAAAAGATGTGATATGACCCGGTAGTCGCGATATCGGGATGTCATATCTCTAATCTGGGCCGAGGGATGCAAAAGGAGAAGGGGAGGCAGAACATATCGGACTTTTGGGCGGCGGTACCGAGCCGGCCCCTCCGTACCCGCGGGGCGTCTTCTGTCACAGCTGAATCGGCTTGGTTCCCGGCCCTGCGCTTTTCTGGGTAACTGCAGCAGTGTCGAAAAATAACATCATTGGTGTTTGCTCTGCCAGTCTTCCATGCTTGGCTATGGAAGCGTGATGGAACAAGTTGATGGTGGGAGATAGCGTGGTGATCGGCCCAAGAGGAGACGGGGCGGGTTCGACGGGTTCCCCCGTGTCTCTCGCTGCTCTCTTGCGAGACCCGAAGACAAGGCTGGGGAGGGGGCCTCGGGGAACCACTGCACACCACCGCACACCACCGCACACCACCGCTTTCTTGAACTGGCGCGCGGATATCACCAGATGACAAGTCGGAGCAGTCTCATCGGCTGATTCGTGAAGAAAGCGCCCATCACAGAAACGTGGCTCACTGACGAGTATTGGCCGGCGGCTGTTTTCGAGAGCCTCTCTACCCACACACACCAGCAGGTCCTTCCCGCCGTATTCTCCGAGTGTCCGTTGAGCCTAATGTTTAGCTCTTCTCACTTGCCACTCAAACGGTCTATGAAATGGTGATTATTTTCGTGGCTTGTCTGATGAATGATCCGTTTTGGGATGCCATTTTACCTACCCTCGATGATTTGCGCTACGCCACAGCCAGGACGCCTTCTGATTAGCCAGTGCCAGAGGTCTTGATGGACTTTCCGGGGGGGGGGGGGGGGGGGGCAAAGTAACACGGTATATAGAACACATTCCAACCACCCGTATCCAACTCACACATTTAATCTATTCGTACACGTCCGGAGGCCGAGCGGCAGCATGTCAGCATCACCACCCGCTCATAAGTTCGCAGCTGACTGTTTCCATGGACAAATGGATTCGGACTGAACAACATGATGTGGGGCCAGGCATGGCTGGTACTAGAAGAAGCTGCCCATAGCCACATGGCTCAACATTCTTGCATCTACACTACAGGAGTCTGCCAGCGTATAATAGAGACAAGTCTATTGGCTAAGAAATCTCTTTACACTACAGCTCCCGCTCTGAGAAAGAACCCGGGAGGAAATGCGTTATTCCCCGGCCAATTCTTGCAGAAAAGGTGCCGGCGCTTAGAGGACGGCAAAGCTTCCATGTTGGGAACCGTTCTTATCAGCTTATCTGATAGGTATCTATATACCCACCAGTTCGGGCACCAGAGCCTTAGTCCAAGCAATCTGCTTGTAAGTCCGGTGGCATGCTCACAACGTTCGACTAGTAGATATCACTCTACCTACCTGCTTGTCCGAACAGGAGAGGCAATGGCTTGAGGTGATAGCGTGGGCTGTGAGCATCATCCCCCCAGGCTGCTGCTCATCATCAGTTGTTCGTTTTGTTGCGCACCCCACTCTCTCTTGGACGGGAGGAGAGTGTTTTCTCACCCCCGCCCCCTCTTCTCTGTTTTTTTCTCCCCACTGGTAGCTCGTAGCCAGTGCGACGTTGAAGTCTCGACTGGACGGACTGCCCACACGCCTCCCTGGGTGAGGGCTGCTGTTCCACCGCGGGCCACTAAACACGGCCGCTTACGCACACGCCCCATGATCCCGGTCGCGGCCCACATCCCAACCTCCCGTCTCCAGTCAGATTCGCTCAGAAGTTGTTTTCCCTGGTCGAGCCAGGCCCGGACAACAAACCACACCCTAACCTCCTCTAGCTTAGCCCCATCCCCATCCCCATTTGCCTTCCCCATTGCCTTCCCCTCTCTCCCTCATCACTCTCGTCTCTCGTGTCTTCAGCAGTTGGTGGAAATCAATATCAATGGAGAGTAGTGAGTGATGGAGGATAGAGAAGTAGAAAGACATTTAGCTGAAGGATGGCGTAGTAAACAACAGAGTTCTCGTAACGGGTAGCCTGGAAAGAAAACGAGAAGCTAACACCGTTGGCCCCTGCTCGCTTGTGTGCTCGGCGGAGGACACTTGCTGCTACCCTGGTTTGCTGCCCTTGCTCCTTGCACACTTGCTGGGGCCCTTTCGCGAAGGCCCCTGCCAGCACCACCCGGCACCACCACCCAGCATTTGGTTTTTGGTGCTCTGCTCCAGGCCTTGCTCGCCTTTTCGCCCTTTTTTTCTGCCAATCTAAGACCTTTCCGGTACTGTCTTTGGGCCATACCCCTCTTGAGTGGTCGGCTGGCGAGCGAGCGGACCAGGGCAACACCGGTACGTACAGCTCAGAGAGAGCGGAACGGGACACCGGGCCAGGCTGGACGAGAGAGAGAAGAGAGCTCAGTTGTTTTCTCTGCTGGGGGGGGGGGGGAGACACCCCGGCAAGCCCACAGAGAGCTGATCGTCCTCTCACCACCACCACCTAAATCAGGCCGCATCCCTTCCTCCTCCTTCTCTTCCCTCCTCCTCACCACCGCTCCACCGACCTCCCCCAATTTTTTTTTCTCTCTTTTGGCTTTTGAAAGAGGCAGGAACGTCTGAGAGGCGAGGAACAGGTACGATCCGATCCGCACACGCACAGTTTTTCTCTTATCCACGCCCACGCCCATGCCCATGCCCACGGCCCCGTCCCCCGCCCCAATTTGTCTCGCTTTTTTTTTTTTTTTTTTTTTTACTGCTTGCTTGCTGGCCGTCCTGAAAAATTCTCCATCTCTTTTTCTTTGCTCTGCCTCTTTGCTTTGCTCTCTCATCTGCGTCTTGCTGCCTTGGTCATCCCAACTTTTTTTTGGTTGTGCGCCTGCCGATTTTGGAGCTAACCGAACCTGCATGAGCAGTTGCGCTGAGTCCCGACACCCCGAGTTGCTTGCCGGTTTAACTGGAGGGTCGAGCTACGAACAGAGCGCAAAAACGTTGTCGAGAGGGCCAAAAGAACGCAATCAGGGACACCCAAAGCTTATCCCAACCCCAACCGCGTGTCTTTATCGTTGAGTTCAAACGTTGGTCGAGATCACCTGCAATTCTCATCTACCGCTGTTACTTCTGCATCCCACCTGCTGGTACCACCGCCTGCATAAAGTATCTTCGACCGCCCCTCGCCACCAAAGCATTGGACAGCCAGCCAAGCCCGACATCACAGAGATCCGCTTTCTTCCTCCATCTGAAGCTCAACTTCCTCGACGACTGCCTCGCGTCCGCTCACGAACACGTCCTTCGTCTTGTTCAGTGATCTGGTCTTGTTGTCAAATCCAACCAACAGCTACCGCGTCCAGCATTTTGCTATGCTGGTTTGATCGTGATCGCGGATTCCCATATCGCAACCACGCACCCGAGAAGAAAAAAAAGGTTCGACCTATACCAACGTTCCTGGCGCCTACCGAGACTAGTACTCGACGCGCCGTCTCTTTTGGAGGAGCCCGAGAAAGTCAATTGGAACTAACCATTGTCTCAGCTACCCAATTGGGCCGCTCTAGAGAGCTTGTCGTGCCATCAAGCCTGACTGTCTCGTCTTGTCCCCCTCCTCGGCCCGACAGTAGTCTCCATCGTGGAGACTGGCGGTTACGTGACCGCAAACTCAGATTCACCCAGCTTCGAGAAATACCGAAAAGCTGGATCTCCCGTCGATCTCACAAGGGCATACCCGGGGTCCGTCCACCGAAGTGCCGTATTATCATCAGCAGCGACCGTTGTATGTGAACGAGAGACTGCCATCTTTACCTTTGCCGCAGCCTCCCCAGGCATATTCCTCGAGCGGTTCGTCACCCCGGGTAAGCTCAATATCATCTGCTGCAAGCTCCCACCTTGGTTCGCAGTCGTCCTTCACCTCAGCTGCGTCCTCCAACGGCCCCAAGACCCCAGGCACGCTTTCCCCAACGCTTCCGGGTAACTCTGTACCAGGCCCGCAGAGTCAAGGACATCCGGGATACGAGCATTACCCAGCGATGCAAAGTGGAACGGAGATGTACTACCAACCGGCACCTCATATGTCTACCGGCCAACAGCCGCCCCCGCAGACTGTCACTTCTCACTACGGCCAACAACAACCACCTCTGTTACACCCAGGTCCTCCTCAATACTCCCCAGCTCCCTATGGAAGTCAGTACGGTTACGGAAATGGCCTTGCCTCTCCGCAGACAGGACCGCCCTCGGTGTCAAACCCGATGGGTGGTGGTCAGCCAGTCCTCCCTCTCCCCGGCGTGAACCAGCCAGGCATGCCCAACAACGCATACACGGCCGGCTTCGACACGACTGGCCAAGTCGCGCCACCGGGCATGAAACCCCGCGTGACAGCAACGCTTTGGGAAGATGAGGGCAGCCTGTGCTTCCAGGTCGAGGCTCGCGGCATCTGCGTCGCCCGCAGAGAAGGTTTGTTAATCCATTGTCCAAGCCATGGCACCGCCTCTGTTTGCTAACTCTGTCGCTCAGACAACCACATGATCAACGGTACCAAGTTGTTGAACGTGGCAGGAATGACACGTGGGAGACGCGATGGTATCTTGAAAAGCGAGAAGGTCAGACATGTGGTCAAGATTGGCCCCATGCATTTGAAGGGTGTCTGGTGAGTGTGGCTCGCTCTTCGTGGCGTGAGGTGACCTGCTAACATGGTTCTTTAGGATCCCATTTGACAGAGCTTTGGAGTTTGCCAACAAGGAGAAGATCACCGAGCTTTTGTACCCCCTATTCGTGCATAACATCAGCTCCCTGCTTTATCACCCTGCGAACCAAAGTCGGGCCAACCAGGTTTTGACCGCGACGGCAGAGCGCCGGAAGCAGGATAGTCTGCGCGCAGGTCAACCACCAAATGGCCTGCCGTCTATTCAGCAGCAGCCGCAGCACCACCATCACTCGATGTCCCTTCCCGGTCCTCAACCTCCTCTCCCATCGCATTCCAGCATGGGCCGCCCCTCGATTGATCGCGCGCACCCCTTCCCCACCCCTCCCACCAGCGCTTCCAGTGTGATGGGTCCTATGGGTGCCTCTGAGAACTTTCAATGGAGCCAGCAGAGCATGAACAACGGCCAGACGAGTCAGATCTCGATTGACACCACTTTGAGCAACAATGCCCGGTCGTTGCCCAACACACCTGCGACCACGCCTCCCGGGTCTACCCTTCAAAGCATGCAGAATTACCCCCCGGTCAGCCAACCATATGACAGCTCGCGCCAAATGTACCAGGCACCGCCCCCGCAACAGTCCTCATACACTTCTGCGAACTCCAGCACCCAGGAAAGATCCATCTACGGCCAGTCCAACTACGTAAAAACTGAAATGGCCCCCCCAGCCGGTCGCGCCACAGGCCAGGGAAACGAGCAGGGTGACTCGAAGCCGCAGAATGGGCTGATGCACGGCGAAAACCAACCTGCCTCTGGACAGGAAGAGGAAGCCGACCACGAGCATGACCCCGAGTACACTCACGACAGCGGGGCCTATGACGCAAACCGCAACTCGTACAACTACAGCAACCCCCAAGTGGCCTCGTTACCAAACGACCACGCTCATCTGTCTCCCGAGATCTCTGGTTCTCCCCACCAAGCTGGTTCCGGAAGAGCGACTCCTAGGACCGCCGCTGCCCCGCAATCATACTATGCCCAGCAAGGTTACCACACACCACCGCGCGCACCCGGTCAACCGTCAAGCAATCTCTATAGCGTGATGAGCAGCGACCGCAATGCTCCCAACGGAACCAACGGCAGTGACGTCTATGCCAGCCAGCCGGACATGAACTCGATGTCAAACGGCTATGCGCCCCAACCACCAGTGCTGAACGGCTCAACGTCCTTGAAGCGCGGTAGAGACGACGATGACGACAGACCGAGCAGCGGCGGTGGCGGCATGTCAATGGACATGAAGAGACGCAAGATGCTTGATGGCAGCGGGTCGATGCCATCACCCACTTTCAACCCCCCCATGGCGCAACCTGCTTCTACCATTCCTTCACAAAGACGGAGGTAATACGGCGATAGCATCTTGATTTTCGCGACGAGTACCATCATTAGCGGCGTTGGGGGAAATTGTGAGTCTGAACACGAGACGAACCGGATAGTGAGAGACGGGTGCTTCTGTCCAAGCTCTCTTTGCAGAACCAGACGGCAAGCTAGTTCTGTAAAAGCGAAGGCAGAGACCAGACGCACCAAACACACACACATACACCCACACTCCTTGCTCGTTTTCTGTGCAAAATCTTGCTTTTTTGTACTCGCTCAAGACGAACGACCAACAACGAAGGGCTCTTTTTTTTTTCTGGGAGGGCCCGGGTTCTCAAGGACGATTGCTCAGGCGAGCAAAACAGCTGACGATTCTCTTTGTTGGATGCTTGCTGATATGGCTGTACATGGCTGATGAATTAACGGATTTTTTTTTGCATGGGCTGGCTAGGCGGGTCTAATCACTAAAGAGGATGGGCCAGGGGGGTGAGAGCAGCTTCTCTCATCCCTTGGGTTCGGGATGACATTTTTTTCTTCTCACTCGCCAAAAAACAAAGAAGGTTTTTGTCGGAACCGTCGCCTGTTTATGATCCTAGGCGCGGAGGCGGCAAAGAAATGTGATGATAAAACGGGACTGGACCTTTTTTTCTGCTTCTCTGGGGCTGGGGCTGCTGTTGTCGGGTTTCGTGGGGGGACAAACAGCGACGATTACTCGACATAGAGTCGAGGATATCAGAGGATGTCGATTGGGGGATGTGCTCGCACTGGTTGATTGATCAGCGATGAAAGTCCTGGTTGACTTGGCTGGTGTGGTGGCATAGGATCTGTTTGTTGCCGTTATAAACTGTTTCCCATCTTCTGTATGATTGTTCGAATTGGTCGGTGAGCGTTCCGGACATGATGGAAGAAGGAAAGGCGGTTAGCGGGATCAGATGAGCGAAAGCAGCAGCTGCAGCAGCGGTCGCCTATGAGTGAGAAAGCGGTTCAACAGACTTTTTTTTTTCTCTACTCTCTTATCCATTGTTCACTTTTCCTAGCTCATGACGCTTATGACCAATGACTCTCGAATATTATTCTTCTCTTTTTTTTCTCTCTCTTTCAATTGCTTCAAACAAAAGTTGCGGGGGGGGGGGGTACGATGGAAGGGGATGGGATAGGGGAAGGCGTGAGGGGGTTAGGGGTTGTTGTTGTTGCTGTTGTTGTGTGTATGTTGTTGCTGACTGATGATGATGTCAAATGATGGATGGTTTTTCGTTTTGATGTCGTCGCGCATTGGAAATGGTTGATGGGTTTTGGTGGGAAGGGGGATGGATGGTTTTTTTTTTTTGATTGTTTTTTCTGTTGTGTTTTTTTGTTTTTGAGGTTTTTATCAGAGTAACGACTTTATGAGAAAAAAGAGAGATTTAAAGTTTACAACCAAAAAAAATGAGTGCCTTTGACAGATGCGGGATGTGAAGAAGACGGGAGAGGAAATAGGGGTCGTGGTTTTGTGTTAGTTGATTTTGTCTTGTGAGATAAGTGCTGTGGTTTTGTTTGGTTTTGATCTGTTGTTGACATCATCATCAGGGGCGGCAACACGGCGGCACGGTCTAGTTTGCGGCCGGTGAGACTAAGGGGATATGATTGATGGCGGGTAGGGTGGTAGGTTAACAGAGACCGCGATCAAATGTCAAGGTTGTGTTTGTAGTTGTTTGTCATGGTCCTCTCATAGACTGCGAGTCTCATGTGCCGCCAATCGAAGCCGGTCATGACTACTACATCCTGACCCATTTATATTCAGGGGGTTAATATACAGTCACTTGAACCTCAGGTGTAGTCCCTTGGACGAAGCTTTGTTGGGGCGGCTGTCCTTCCAATCTGTCGAAACATCTGGATGGCTATTCAAGGCATGAATGTTGAAACGGCGGGTTTAAGGGGGGTGGAGACATATGCAAGGGACGCGCACATGTAAGGGGCAGGTCACGTGTCATAACCGTTGCTGGGCCACAGGGATAAACAGGCACAAACGCTGGCCTGAGTCGAAATGATTGGCTGGCCAGGACCAGGTGCCGTCGCAATCAAAGCAATTTCCCCCAGAGGGACAGGCCACTGGAAGCACTGAATATCAGCGCCATAACTCGGTGCAAGTACCACCAGCATCACAACAACATCCCACCACCGACAAATCCCTTTTTGCACAAGATTAGCTGGCTGGATTTCGGGGCTCTCTGCTTGCGATTTCTACTGACAGATTACCTATCTGCAGCAAACCTGACGCGGGTAACTGACTTGCTTTTGTCCGTGTACACACTGTGATCGACCGCAGCATGGCAGCGCCGTTATCGCCGACGCCGAGCGCGGCTCTCAATTTCTCAACGCCATCGGGCAGCCTGCACCACGGCGGACCGTACGAAGCTCGACCTTATTTGATGAGGGATTCCTCCACCTCACAACCGGACCGTTATAGCACCGAGAACGGCGCCGTCATCGTCGAGGAGCAGCAGAGCAGCAGAAACAACCACCACCACCACCACCGCAGCCGCGACGGGTCGCCTACCCCGCGTGGACCCTCACCGCCCAAGGTTCGCCCTGGTTCAACCTCGCGCATCATGTCGGGCAACGAACTTTCACCGCTCAAGATTCTGCAGTCGCACCAGCACGCGCAGGTTCAGGCGGCACACCAACAGCAAAGTTCAGCCTCATCATCACAGCCCACTTCTGCCGATTCTACTAGTAGTGGTCAACAGCCAGAAGATCTGACGTCGCCTCCTCCGCCAAGGAATTCTTCTTCCATGCCCCCGCCGCCGGCGCTGCAAAGCCCGAGAAAAGCACCGATCAAGAGATTTCCCATCCGAGTCAACCAGCCCGGCCAGTTGTCCTCGTCCAACGAAAGCTCGCGACGCCCGTCCAACGAACGCCGCGGGTCTGACGAGCAGCAGCAGCGATTGGGCAGCTCCATGGGATCGTCGTCCCACCGGCCAGAAAATATGCTGGAGAACGAGGGGGTGAAGCACGCGATTGAGATTTTTGAGGACGACATCAACTCTGATGATCACAACGACGATGAGGTTGATATGGATGATAGCAACAACCATCACAGACGGAGGGACGCAGACGGGGACGAGAGGATGGGCATGCAGGACGAGGCGACGATGGATGATGACGACATTGGCGCGAACGATACCATGACCAGCACGTTTAGCACGTTTTCCGCGGTGCCAAAGGCGACGGTTATGGGCATGAGGAGTGACAGCCCGACCAAGTTTTCCATGTCCACGTCGTCGGGGCCGACGCCGAGGGGGGGGAGGGCGAATAATGGGACGGGGGTTCCGGACCGGTCGGGCGCGCAGCAGTTGTATGACGGTGGGGGTTCGACGAATCTGATGGACTTTACGGAGAATTTGCGGTTTGGGAGTTATGGAGCTCAGCCTATGCCTTCGAGACGGGGTGGTCAGGCGTCGCTGTCGTCGTCGTCGACGTCGGGGAGGGGGGTGGGTGCTACGCCGCAGAGGAGTGGGGTTGCGAATCTGCTTGATTTTGATATCCCCCCGGCGCCGACGCCGAGGAGCGTTCCGACTATTACTCCTCGGGAGCTGGAGTCGCTCAAGTCGGGGTTTTTGTCGGAGATTTCGAGTTTGAAGGCGAGCCTTTCTGGCAAGGAGGCTGAGGTGCAGCATCTCAAGACTGCGGTGGGGGATGCGGAGAAGAGGGTGGGGGAGTGCATGGAGCAGCTTCGTGAGATTCAGGATGCGCACGAGTCCCTGACTACCGAGAAAGACTCTTGGGAGCGCCGAGGAAGGGAGATGGAGGTTGTTCTGCGGCAAGTCAAGGAAGAAATTGTCATGACCCAGCGCGAGAGAGAGGAGTTGGAATTCAAACTTCACGAATCAGAGCAGAGAAGAGAGGCAGCAGAGATGATGGCCCAGGACGCCGAGTCGAAAATGGCGGGTATGAGAGCTGGTCAGGCAGCCGGGAGCCATAACGCCCCTGGACAGGCGATCAACGCCAACAAGGAGGTCGAGTTGGCCGTCGAGCGAGTAGCCAAGGACCTCCACGCGCTTTACAAGTCCAAGCACGAGAACAAGGTTGCCGCCCTGAAAAAGAGCTATGAGACGCGCTGGGAGAAGAAAGTCCAAGGTCTGCAGGCTCAGCTGGACGAACTGACGCGAGAGAATGAGGACTTGCGTCATGGGAGGGCGAACCAGATCAACAACCTCAACCACCATCGCATTGCCGAGCTGGAGGAGGAGCGCGCGCAGAATGCGGCTCATATCCGTGAGCTGGAAGCCGAGAGCCAGAAGTTGGAGGCTATCCTGAGGACTGTCCAGGCTGACAATGCCGAGCTGAGGCTGCTTTTGGAGAGGGAGCGGGTCGAAAAGGGGGAGCTGGTGCAGCTGGCGGAGGAGATGATGAATATGCAGGCCACCCTTGCTGCTGCTGCGCCTGCGCCTGCGCCGGCGCCGGCGCCGGAGCCGGAGCCGGAGCCCGCGCATGCTCCTGCTCCTGTTAGGACGATCAAGTCCCCTTCTCCTGAGCCAGCGCCAGTTGTTGCGCCTACGCCGAGCAAGACGCCGAATCGGAGGCAGAGCATGCTTGGTGGACCTACAAAGACGCCTGGTACCGGGCTGGGAGTGAGATCGAGCATGCCGCCGCCCAGTAGGTCTACTGGGTTGGGGGTCACGGATGAGAATCATGCTCCTCCCACGGGGAATAATTTCCGGATGAGCGTCGGGCCAGGCGGGTTCAGAGCTTCTGGATTGAGGGCTCCGGGAGGAGGCCCGCAAAAGATGGGACTGGCGAGGAGCGGGAGTGTAGCTGGGCCGCATGAGAGGACCAAGAGCTCGAGCAGCGGCACTGGAGGACTACCCCGCCCCGGATCGGGGCAAGGGAGGGGGTTGATGGGGAGTATTGAGAAGATGGGCGGCGGTGGGTACAGCAGCGGTTACGGGAGGAGAAATGACTGAGGGATGGGTTATGAGATGATGATGCCTTGTACGGATTTTGACGATTCTTTTCTTTTTCTTTTACAGCTTTGATTCTTTTTTGTTGTTGTTTGTTGCAAAAGACTTTGGCGTGTGGGGCGGGAAGAGAGAGGGGGGAGTTGCTGCATGTTTGTTGGTTGACTGTCATTCTCGATTTGTCTTTCTACAAGCCCATACTGGCGGTGTGGGCAATGGGTTCTTGAGGTATTTTTCGAAGGAGGAAAAAAGTTAAAGTCAGTCATGGAGGGAGGGGTAAAGGCGGCGTACATAGTAGGGAAAGATATTTCAGATACCCCCCCTTTGCATATAGGCCATTAGCTATTTCATGGTTTCTTTTCTTTTTTTTTTCCCCCAAGGCTTGTACTGTTGTTCTTTTGTGCTTCTTGGGATGGGTGGTGCTTGTCCGGTTTCTGGCTATGATAGACATGTTTGCGGCGGATTGATTTGGGGCTTGTATCCAGTATCATAAAGGCATCTCCCGTTGTTAAGATCGTAAATTTATTGTGTAATCATTCATCTAGTTTCTGCCACTGGATATATATCTCATGTCGATATGGTCTTGGACGAACAAATATTGAAACCTCTCAAAAGGTTGTAATCTATTAATAATTATTTATCAAAAAGTTTCAGCTAGGTCTCCTAAGCTAGGTATCAGGTAGGTATCAGGGCCTCGTCTACAAAGTCGTGCGGTCGTTTGATAGTCATAAGTAATATACACGCGCCCCCGCCCCCCCAACCCTTTCCCCTTTTTCTAACTCCAATTCTTTGTCTCCTCACTGCTTATCCTCCTTGTCACACATCTCCTCCAACCTAATATCCCCATCCATCTGCCCCAACTCCTCATTACTCCGCTGCCCGTGATGCACCACCTTTACATTATTCCCCAGCGCCTCATCCATCTCCCTCCTCCACTTCTCACCCCTCCTCTTCAACAAGAAAATCGCCCCATTCCCCGTGATCCACGCAAATAACCCCACCATCAGACACAACCACCGATTCCCCATGGCATCAATCAACGGCTGTGCAAGAATCGCTCCCACGCAAGAGACAAAGTTTCTCACAAAGTTATTGACCGCTACCCCAGACGAACTTCTTTGGGGCATGAACTCTGTCAGCATTGTCGTTACCGCACCAAAGACTAGCATACTCCCTACTCCAAAGAGAAAGGTAGCGATGGCTGGGGCGGCAATGTACTTGAGCCCCAGACTAGCAGTGAAACCGTACACGATGAGAGAAAGCGGGTATAGAGAAGCAGCAAGCCACATGTTCTCTCCCATACGGTCCTCAGGGAGGTATATCAATTTGGGGGGGTTGACGCGGTCGTCGAAGCGGCCGGCGCGAAGTGCTTCGCGCTTCATTATGTGGTCGAGCCAGCGGCCGCCGACGGTGGAGGCGGTGATGTACCCCAAGGAAGGAGCGAGATACATGCAGCCGATGATGGTGCTTGTGAAATTGTAGGGTGGAGTGGAATAAGTTGATTGAATGGAGATGTTGAGGACGAAGAGAGAGCCAAAGGCCACGCTGGCCGAATAGACTGATATCAGCACCGGTGGATAGCGAAGGTAAGCAAGGACGGTGAGGGGGTCCCAAAGGAAGCGCTTGATGGTTGAAGCGGCGGATTTGATCGATTTGGCTGTCGTGGTGACACGGGTCAGAGGGTTGGCGGTTGGATCGGGGGAGCTGATGGGGGCTGTAGCCGGCTTCTTGTTGGCAAGTGTTTCTGGCAGACAGAAGAAAATCATGAGGAGCATGACGCCACCATAAATAGTCAGGAACCACATCGTCGAACGCCAACCAAAGGCTCCAGATAAGCTACCGCCAGTAAGGGGGCTAATCAGCGGGCCGATGAGAGGGCCGAGATAAAAGAGGCCCATAGCTCTCCCACGCTCGGCCGGTTCCCAGATATCGGCAATGGTGCCGGCGCCGACGGCCTGAACAGAAGCTGACGCACCGCCTCCCAAGATTCTCATGACGATCAACATTGAAATATTGACGCTGATGGCGCTGAGTGCCGAGAAGACGACAAACATGGTGAAGGAAATGATGTAAATTGTCCGGCGGCCGAGGGTTTCAGAGAACGACGACCACCAGAGAGGAAAGATGGACATGGCAAGCATGTACATGGCCACCGTCAAATTAGTAATTGTGGTGGTTGCGTTCAACTCTTTTGCCAGGTCAGGGAGGGCGGCTACACGTTGTCAGTCAGCCTCCACAGTGTAGAGGGAAGAGGAAGAAACAAGACTCACGCAGAAATATACCAGAACCCATAGGGGCGCCAGCGGCAGCTAGAGCAACGACAGCTGTGATGGTCCATTTGGTACCTCTCTTGTATTCTAGTGGTGTCTCGACTTCGGGAATTATGGTGAATCTTCCAAACAGGCCACGCCGTTGGGATCTTGGAACGATAGGATTGTTTGGTCGAACAAAGGAAGAGCTCCGCCGCGATCTCGTCTGGGTGGGTTGAGTAGGAGAGAGTACATTCTCACGGTGTGATAAGCCTATCCCACCCTGGCCGGGTACATCATCCACGATGACGGCTTCTTCATCGGTGCTTATCGACGTTCCTGTGTGGCTGCCGACCTCGAACTCTTCTTGGCCCGGGGACGATGGTCGGTCCGGCTTGGCAACGGATCCGGACCGACCATTCTCGTCAGAAGAGCCAACGGCCATGACCTGTTAGACTTCGATAAGATGAGTGCTGAAAAGGAGCGGCGGGCCTGTCGTTGGCAGCCCCATATGATAGGGGCAGGTTCGATCGATGACGAAATAGGAAAGGAAAAGATTCCTAACATCTAGTATAAATAGGGGACGATATGAAATATTATTTTAGGGGAGGTAGAGCTTGGCCGGGAATAAGCAGGCCGAGTGGGTGCTTCGACATCCTCGGCATCGCTTCTTCTGGGGCCGTTCCCAGTCCCGGGGCACGGTCAAACAAGCCGGTCTCTTTTAGCGTTGAGGAAGGAGCTGGCTGCCCCATGGGGAATCATCCATGGGAGTGCGGGTACGGGGTATGAGCCTGTAGCCGAGCGGATGGGAACCTATTACCAAGCAGTTCCTTCCACCGATACTGAATCAACAAGCTTCCGATACCCGTTGAGTTTTTGATTCGGACGAACATCTCGAAGCACCAAAAGAAGTCGCCTTTGACCAACGGCTCGGAAGCGAAAGCGGCGAAATCACCCTTCTAGACGGCAAATTCGGCAACTCGCGACAAACTGCTCCTGTTGCCAGCACACCATGACAAACCGATTCCAACCGCCTCGTTTTGCACACGCCTTGTGCTTACTGCCGTGGCATCATCGATAAATGAAAAGTCGGGAAACATAGGTATGAGCGGGAAAGATGCAGCATCGCTGCTGACTGCATTGGAGAAAATGGCGGCAAATCCATTGCTTCGGCCGGAAGAGGATATAAGATGAGGAGGAAGGATCAATGTTAAGGAGAGCAGCAGTCCTAACAGGCAGAATCATGGAGACACTGGGCTATCGGCCGTGATACTACCGTCCTGCCGGGCACCTCAATGGGTTGTCGTTGAAAGATGCAGGGACGTCCAGCCCTAAAGACTTTGACAGCACCCCGCAACCCCACATTGACTCACCCTCGCCCTGCCGCGTTGGAGGGGCACAACATGTGCCCCTCTGTGTCCTCCGACCTACGGCCTGGCACCCGGTGACGACACTTGGAAAAGAATCCACTGGGATTTTTATATCAGCAGTAATAAACCTTCAAGTCAAAATGTCTCTTACCAGCGCCTCCCCCCTCGAAGCCGCTCAGTCGGCCAAGTCAGCTTCCCATATCCTTGCCACACTCTCAGACGATGCGCGCAACGATGCTCTCACAGCTATTCACTCGGGACTCACAGCTGCTCGCGATGACATTCTTGCCGCCAACGCCAGGGATCTCGAGCTTGCGCGCAAGGCTGCTGCCGACGGGCAGTTGAGCCAAAGTCTCGTCTCACGTCTAGACCTGACTAAGCCCGGCAAGTGGGAGGATATGCTCAAGGGCATCCTCGACGTCCGTGGCCTCGAGGACCCTGTTGGCCGTGTTACTCTGCGCACCCAACTCGATGAAGGTCTCAGCCTCGAACGGGTGACCTGTCCCATTGGTGTTCTCCTCATCATCTTCGAGGCTCGTCCTGAGGTCATCGCCAACATTGCCGCCCTCGCTATCAAGTCTGGCAATGCGGCCATCCTCAAGGGTGGCAAGGAATCTACCGAGTCTTTTGTCGCTATCTCACGCGTCATCTCCTCTGCTCTCGAAAAGACCCAGGTTCCCAACGGAGCCGTCCAGCTCGTCACCACCCGCGATGTTATCCCCCAATTGTTGGCTCTCGACAAGTACGTTGACCTGGTCATCCCCCGTGGTGGCAATGAGTTGGTGAGGTACATCAAGGACAACACCAAGATCCCCGTCCTGGGCCATGCCGACGGTCTCTGCTCCATCTACCTCGATTCCTCTGCCGACAAGGCCCTTGCGGAAAAGGTTATCGTCGACTCCAAGACCAACTATGTTGCCGCCTGCAACGCTCTCGAGACTCTTCTTGTCCAAGAGTCGGCGCTTTCTCTCCTTCCCGATGTTGCCACTGCCCTCGCAGCCAAGGATGTTGAGCTTCGTTGCGATGCTGCCTCCAAGGCCGCTCTCGCCAACACCCCTGGCCTCAAGATTGTTGACGCCACTGAGGAGGACTTCAACACCGAGTTCTTGTCTCTGACTCTCGCCATCAAGGTCGTTTCTGGCTTGAGCGAAGCTATCAACCACATCAACTCCCACGGTTCCCACCACACAGATGTTATCCTCACTTCTAACAAGGAGGATGCTGAGACTTTTATGAACGCTATCGACTCGGCCGGTGTGTACCACAATGCCTCAACCAGATTTGCTGACGGAATGAGATATGGTTTCGGCACTGAGGTGGGTATCAGCACAAACAAGATTCACTCAAGAGGACCGGTGGGGTTGGAGGGTTTGATGATTTACAAGTACAAGATTCGTGGTGGTGGCCAAGGTGCGGGTGACTATGGGGAGGGTAAGAGACAGTACCTTCACCAGAAGTTACCTTTGGAGTAGATCTATCTCAGAGCGCTTGACACAAAATCGGTGGATATCGGAAGACAAAATGGGCATCATGAATGACGACGAAAAGTATACAGCTCAACTTCGAAGGTTATAGCAATTGGACTGGTTTGAAAAGCTTAGTGAGACAAAAGCAAAGTCTTGCCAAAATTCCTATTTACATGTTCAAGTTCCGTGGGCGAGTGCGATGCGCAAGACAGTCTCCTCTATCAATGGCGACGCTTTGCGTATGTTCTTCTGCTGACTAAGCAAACCCCTGGAAGCCCCTTTTTCCACGGTTCGGGGGGGAACGAAGCCGCAAGACTACAGTTGCACACTGGCAGTCTTCTCTACCTATTACATATTCTCCAGTAGTTGAAGGTTTGCATGTCACTGAAGCTTCCCCCCAACAGAAAAAGAATGATCCTTTCAAACTGTGATTGTGTACCTAGGTACTTGCTTGTTGACGTTCGAGTTTCTCACCAAACACATCTCCCACGTAACCCAGGTCCTTTATTTCCAGAGGAAAGCTAGACTGCATATACAGCTCCGCTGGGCAAATCAGAAGAAGTTGGTTCGCGAAAGGGTATTGCAGCAAGATCTTCGCCACCTCATTCACACCAGACCGGCATGCAGTAGGTTGCCGATGGCTCTTCAAACAGGTCCATTAATGCACGACGACCATTGATTTATGTTGCATTTCCAACTTATGTCACCGAAGCTCGTTCCCCACTGGGCGGGATGTAGGACAGGCAGATTCAGCCTTCTTGGGGTATACATGACGACTTCACGGACCGGGCAATTGATGCTTTTCAACTACAATATATGCTGTTGTTCTCTATTCCGGTGTCGGGACGTCGAAGCTTACTACCCTAACAAGAGCCTATCAAAACACACATGGCTCAATGGGACAGACACTTTATTTTGTGATTATTGAAGCCGCAGGGGGACCGTGACCCAGTTGTTTCCGCCAAGGGGTCAGACGCCGCTGAGCTGCTTTTGCCAAGGCTTCAGACGCCGTTGAGCTGCTTTCCTCAAGGCCTCGGGGTCTTGGTCGGGTTGAGGGATCATCTGAATATCTATTTTATAAAGTCTGCTTCTGTCCAACACCTTCTCCTCTCTTGCCAGACTTTCTCTTCCTGTGTCTATCACCCTCATTGTGTTCCATTCTATTGTCTCCTTAAGAGAGGGCCACAAAACCTACCTGTCAATAGTCAAGCCCAGAACCGATCAATCATGTCACGAATCCTCAAAGCCATACGGATGGCAAAGAAGACGGAAAAGGCACCTCGAGATACCAACCCCGATCTCGACAGCCTAATCATAGCAAAGCTTGAAGATATCGATTACAAAATCACCACCTTCATCAACACACGAGATGCTCCCACACTTCACGAACTCGAAGGCAGCACCCAGTATATAGGACCGCAGCAAGTCCTGAGGACTCTCCCACCGATACAAAACGATGTTGACAACAACATATGGCAACAACATGTGCAACAGGACGGCAAGGCTGAATCAAAACTTTGGGAGGCAAAAGCATCACACATTCCAGGCCTTGCTATTATTTGTGTTTTTCTGCTGCTCGTTCTCTCACTCCTTCTCCACCCAACACATTCACTCGGAGTTCACAGCAAGACCACAGATAGTGGTAGATGGGGTGTTGGTTCGGTGTGGTGATATATCACTACAGTTGCTTTTCTCTTTGGACAGATAACATGGCCGTGATTAGTTGTTCTGAGAGACATGTTACAGTTTTGGGTGTGGAAAATGCGGCTTGATGAAGAGAGAATTGAGGTTTCTTACCAAGTGATGTAGTTGACGGCTTGGGGTAGGGATTGGGAGATGGGGACGCGGGCTGAACTGACATGGTGATGTACTGGGCTACGCCTATGTAGGTAGGTAACAATGAACACTCTATCAACCACGAGGCTGGCTTGTATCGATATTTCCGGACTTGTATCCCATAAACAATGAGAGAAGTTGCCCTCTGCAGTCGGCAAAAATGTGATGAATAGCAGAATTAGTGCATGTATGACATCAAAATGTGGTGGCCTGTCACAGTCCAGAGTACCAGACTGTCTCTAGCATTTTTATAGAGATATCTTTTCATAGGGTCAGGTAGAGCTTCAAGGGCTCGCAGGTAGGTAGGGTAGGTACGTACTTCGGTTGATGCCAATAGTGCATGGTTAGGTAATGTACCTTTCACTGAAGAGATTGCATCGGGAAAACGACCCCTCTTCCGCAGTACAAGTGCAGTTTTAATTTCCCCTTCTTTTCGATCCCACCCATCTACAAAACGCTGCAGGTGGGCTCGTTGACCGCTTCTGACGCTGCATCAGGTGCGTGTGATTGATTGGTCGGAGCAGAACCTCTCTTAGAGCAGCATGCAGCTTCACTGATACCCAAAACACTCACAGGATGACTGCCTCTCTTGAATATTAGGGCCACACGACACTGCGCGGCTGGCAGACAACCAACCTCATAACTCATCGCTCCGACTCCCACGGGCCGCCTCATGTACGCTTCCTCTTGCTATTGCTATTTATCTGCTATAAGTATATATAGTTCGCTTTTCCCAATCTCCATTTATTCAATATCCTGAACTTATCCCTCGTGCTCAGACGACTATCCTCCATCAACATCCATTCTTTAACTCTTTACTCGTTCTCAGGCATCATGTTTAGCTTCAAGTCTAAGAACAAGACTGGAGAGGAGAACGAAAGAATATCCGAAGTTACCAACAAAAGACTGGACAATATCAACAACAAGCTCTTCACCATTGACAGCAAACTTGACGCTATTCTTAACAACCGCCGTCACAATGCTATATACGAGCTTGATGCCCTTCTCAGCCCATCCGGCCATTGCCAGCCCTAAGAGATCATGACCAACCAATAGCCCACCCCATCTTACAACAACGACCTCGCCAAGAACAAGAAGTAGAAACAGAAGCCCGAGTCGCCCAGTCACAACCTTTGACTGCCAACAATGCCATCATAATTTTCTCCGTGGGGGTTTGTCTACTTATTGTATTCTTACTTGGCTAGGTAAGCCCACAGTGGCTTCATTGAGGTTCCGGAGATATACCTTTGAAATCTTCTTTTTCTTTTCATGTATCGGGCGAGGCTTGGGTGAACATAACATGAGAGTCAAGAGTATACCAAGGCACAAAATTGGAGGTATGAATAGGTTAACATGTATGTAAAAGATGAGAGAGATTGGGTACGTGGAATCGAAAGAGACTCAGAGACACCGTGGGATACGCCGAACCTGGGAAGATTCATACTCTTTGTTGGCAGGTTGGCGATTCGCAGGCGGGTGTATGAAACGTAGTTCGTTTATTAAAAGTCTTCTAATTACCATTCACTACCTCTTTCGACCTCTTTCTCTTCGCCAAGCGGTAAATCCATACGAACTCGTCAGGCATTCAAAACGTTGACTTAGGTTTAAATAAACAAATAGGTCTAATATCACCACAAGGGCTGCAGGCTATCCACATTCCATGAACAGGGCCATCACTATTACGATATCGATAGTACTCATATGGGTTCCTGGCGTTCTGGGCGAGAGTTCTGTTAAGCAGTCAGTTCTGAAGCAAGATAGCCCCTCGCATGCTTTTGACACAACAGAGAAGCACAAAGCACCACGAAAAGGTAGGTATAGTAGGTATGTTCAATTCTCACATGTTCTGCATAGTAATTCTTGGATGAGAGGAACTCAGCTCGGCTTCTACCAATGGTGTTAGCTCAACACCCCTTCCACATACCCCTCCTCTACCCACACCTATTGGCAACGTACTGCAAGGGGTTCTTTTCAGCAACGCCCCCACCATCATCACAAGTGCAAAAAGAAGGGAAGAACTGAACAACGGGAATAACGGGAAACGGAACAAGCATGCCCAGTTACCCCTCTACAGGTTTTATATATAAACTTAATGCCTAGTTTCGTAAATCTTTAGTAAAAGCCTTACATATTATTAAGGTACCTTATATTATTATTACTTCCTAACTACGTAAAATATTAATACTAAAATATTTATTAACCTTTAAAGGTTAATTAATTATGTTATGCCTTTTTAAAGCTATACTGTGACGAACCCCTGTACAGAACCTCTGAAAGGGATACGGGTTGAAGGTAACTTCTGACAATTGGTTCGGTGCAGCTAGACAGTGCACAACAAGATGTCTCAATGTAAACACAAGATACCATGAATACAACTGTGGATTGCATACTGCGGAACTGTCTATCTACACCAGCCAGTTCCTCCGTATATATAGATCCTGGGGCCCTGAGGTGCTCGCCCTGCTACGGCCCCGATTACCCATAGCACATTGCATCCTGCAAAGTGCTCGTCGTGCTATGCCTCTGATCACTCGTAGCATCTTGCATCCTGCAGAGTGCTCGTGTGTCTTGGCGCCATAGCACTTTCGTCCAGCCCTGATTGGCTGTCTCCTGACTTCTCTAATGATTGGCTAGGGACGTCCTGCGCCCCACATGTGGCGCGGCCTGCTGTTGGGTTAACTGTGACATATACGTACATATAAATAAAAAACAAAATTAAACTTTTATTATATTAACCTAAGATTCGATAACTTAATTATAATTAAATTTAAAAATATAAATTATAAAATTATTACTTTCCTTAGTACCTATAATAATATACCTATAAAATATGAATTCAAAAGTAATATTTAATATATTTAGCTATTGATTTATAAGAATATTTTACGATAGTTATATAATATTAATAATAATATATATTAATAACGGTATAACCTAAGATATATTAGCGATAACGAAAAGCCTATTAGGGAAGAAAATCGAGTTTAAGTTTAATTTTTACTAGGGTAAAAATTAATTAAATACGTTTTAACTTTTAATTTTCGCGTTTACTTTATAATATTCCTTCTTTCGTTCTTCCTTGATTAAATATTTAAATTAAAGCTTTTATAAGTATTCGGTTTTTTCTTTTTTTATATTAAATAAATAGACTTTAGGGTATTTAAATAACTAAGGGGTATAGGAGATACGTATCTTAAATCGCTATCGATAGGTCCATTAATTCGGTATATATTTCGATAGTTATACCAAATAAATAATAAACTTAATATTTAATAAACTTTATTAAGTAAGATTTATATTTTATAATATAATAATAAATAAGACGATAATAGGATATATTATTACGTGCTTAATGTCACAACCCTGGTACAGGACGGTTGTGGGGCCACGGGAATAAGGGGCCAATCGGGAGAACGTATAGGGGAGCCAATCACAGTGAAGGCAGAGTGATCAGTGTGATCAGGGCACTGAGCAGACTGAGCAGAGTGATCAGTGTGATCAGGGCACTGAGCAGACTGAGCCGAGGTGATCAGTGGCCTTGGGAGACTGATCACGGCTTGGCACAAGGACTATATATACGGAGGAACTGGCTGGTGTAGATAGACAGTTCCGCAGTATGCAATTCAAGCTTGTATTCACGGCATCTTGTGTTTACATCGAGACATCTTGTTGTGCACTGTTTAGCTGCACCGAACCAGGATTATTCAGAAGTTACCTTCAACCAGTATCCCTTTCAGAGGTTCTGGATAGGGGTTCGTCACACTTAACTAAATAATTCTTCTCGAAAAGTTAGAAATATAGTATTCCTTTTTAGCTTTAGGGATAGTTAGATATATCCTAAAAGAGGGCAAGGGAATGGATATTTCGAGATATCTGGGAAGGCCTTTTGGTAATAAAACCGCGAGGGAGGGACAGTTTTGCCGCTGGCAGTCGGTAGGGGGCTGTTATTAGTTATTTACAGTGCAGGTTTGTATTTAAAGAATAGAAGAAGATAGTCTTCATGGAGCTACATGGATGTCTAAAGTCAGATACTTGCCCAATGAAGACGCCATTTAAGGCCAAAAGACTTTGAAGAGATAATAACATAGGTGTCCTGAAGTATCTTATCTTGAGAAGAAGATTACAAAGGTGCTGGTTGACCTAGGGGTTCAGAATACCGCAAGGTACGTAAGACTGCATTTTAGCATAATAGTCGTATTGGAAGGTTCCTGTAAGTGTTATGTTGGACCACATACGGACGGCCTTGTAAATTCCTATGTATTGATTGAAGCCTCGGGTCTAGCGGCGCCGCCAGATAGTTGTCAGCCAAGGTGGTCGCCCAAGCCCCGGGCTTGCTCTCTCCAAACAGGAACTAGCAGATATGCTGGATGAGGTGTTGGGCAAGCCGAGTGCGTTGGCATTGCATTGGTTAGATCAAGACGGAGCTACGTGAGGGACCCACGATGAAGGCACAGCCTTTTTGGGCGTCCAATGGCATTGGGGTTCCCATGTTGCTAGATAAGTATCTGCGGCAGTCACCTGGTAACTCGTAGGGACAATTCTGGTACCTGCGGCACTTACCTTGGGCAGATTCCAGCCGCATCTCTAACATACCCTATGTCTGTTAGGTGGTGCCCTGTGCGCCGGACCGACCTACATAAACATTGGACATCATGAAGGGTAGTGGCAGAAAGTGGCGTGGAGTCACCACATGGAAAAATCTATAACTTCTGGATTCACTCTTCTCCGTCTCCTATTTTCTATATATGTGGCATGATATTTGGACGGGGCCGGCTATTGGAACTGCAAGATGTCCTATGAACCGGTGATCAGGGGTGTTGTTGGCTAGCTGTTCTCTGTTGGGCGATGGTGTTCTTGGGGATATTTTCTAGGGTGCTGCCGGCTGTATGTAAGGATAGAAGCCAAAAGCAGTGCTTAATACCAAATAACACAACCCTCCCAACTGAGTCTGCTGAGCTTGTTAATACGGAAAAACAAATGATGAAGGGACAAGGCCATATTGATCACCACAGTTTTATTCTTCAAAGACACCCTGCCGACTCCTAACAGAGCCCACAAGAGGCAGATGTCTAGTTAAAACAACCCCGAAACAACCAAACATAAAAGATCCAGTAAAGCCCTGACAAAAAGAACTCCAAACGACCATGCCAAAACCCAAGACCAAAGAATTCCACACCAAATCCAAACCAAGAGAATACCTCAAGTAATCCCCCCCAAAAATGATCCCGAATAATGCTTGAACCACCAGGTAGGTCCACATCGAAATAAATGCCCCAAGCCAAAGACCCCCTTTTTTTGAAAATGTCCAAACATGCAAAAGAAACTCCCCCCTATGGTTCACCCCTACCTAACCAGTCAAAGTCCCATTCAACCCCCCCTTAACCCACCCCAGCAACGACCTCCCCCCCTCCAGATTCTCAAGCCCCTCCGGCCCGTCAAAAACCATCACGCCGCCAAGGTTAAACAGCCCGCTCAGTCCCAGCTGTCGCAGCTGACTGGCAAGCGACCCCGCAGCTTGCGCGCCTCCCAGTTTGGTGTAAGCACTCGGGGCGGCATCGACCCAGGCGGGAATCCCGATCAAGAACTTCGTCCCCGCGATCGCCACGTTGGAGCCGCCTAGGGAGAGGATGCCATCTGTTATGAGACGGGTCCTAGAAAAGCAAGCGTTGTTAGCACTCTTGTGAGCTTGGAGACAAAGGGGGTTTGGGGTGCTGCCCCTTCCTTGCGCCTTCCTCTGATAGTCAAGGTTGCTCCTTCCCCTGTCCTACCGTTCCTTCCTCTCTAACAAGGGAATTTGCTCAAAACAGGAAGGAACACGGACGGGAAAACCGCCCCAAAAAAGGGGGAAGGAGCAGGCAACATCCCCAAACCCAACAGAGGGAAGGAACACCACCACCACCTCCTCTAGAGAAAAAAGGAAGAAGCCAAACTCACCATGAAAGAATCGACGTCAAGAACTTCTCACCCCCAATCTCGTACCGTCCGGTGTCATCTCCTCCAAAGAATCTCTGCCAGATAAAGTTGGCTTGGGCGAGGTACCCAATCGGGATCGACCTGTCGGGCGAAGCACACCAGGGAGCAGCAGACAAATAAGGCATCTTTGAAGTGTCCTGCAAGAAGTTGAAGCGCATCGTCGCTGCGAAGGTGCCCCAGTAGTTGGGGGAGGAGTCGAGTTTTGCTGGTAAGAGAAAGGGGTTAGTTGTCATGAAGAAAGAGGGGAGGTGGTTGAGAGGGGGGAGAGGGAAAAAGGGGTAGAGTGGTAATGTGTTAATGTGCAAAAGGGGTAATATGTTATTGTTGTAATGTGATAATGCGGCAAAGGAGACTTACCAAGATCAAACCCATCCACCACCGCCGTCCCAAACGGCCTCAACCCATTCACAAACTCATACCCCCTCGTCGTCGCCGGCGTCACCGGCCCAAACAGCTGCCACAACTTGTTCGCAAACTGCTGCGCCTCGCTCTCCGACCTCAGCACCAACGAGCTACCGCCCCCACCCAGCGACCCCAGAACCTTCTTCCCGTGCGTCGCCTGGCAAGTCTTGATGTCCTCCTCCAACTGCGCGTAATAGTCCAACCCGGAGAAAAAAGCCGCTGATACCCAGTCTTGACGCCCTTGATCACAGGCGCGAGCGTCAGTTTGGGCAGCCCGCTGTTTTGGTAGCTGATGTCTGTGACGAAGCCGAGGATGACCAGATCAACGTTGGGATCGGCACAGACATCAGCGAGGGAGATGCGCTCAGAGGCTTGTGATTGCCCGTAGTAGACTGACACGTTGGAGTTGGACATGGCGTTGAATCGGTAGCCGCCCTGCGGGGTGGCTGGGCTGGTCGGGAGAGGAAGGCGGGACGTGAGGATGTTGGGAACAGAAATGGGAGGACCCAAGTAGATGAATGGAGGCGACCGAGTAGTGGTCAGCGTCGGGATGGCGGTAGGAAGGGGTGGGAATGTTATGGTCGGGAGGGCGGTGAGAGGGTTGGGGAAGAGGGTTGCAATTGGGAGGAATGGTAAGATAGAAAAGGTTGGCAGCTGGGCGGATGGATTTGGGAAAGGTGGGAAAGGCAGAATGAAGAATGTCGGCACCGGCAAAAGCAGAGGCTCGAGTGAGCTGAGGAGACTTGGGATGGCCGAGGGAAGGGAACCGACTGCAGCACCAATTTCGCTGAGCAGGCTAGGCAAGATAGGAGCACCAGTCGGGATGGGAATGTTGTTGCCGATGGGTTGGGTGATGGCTGGCGTCTGAATGGGAACCAACCCATTAATGACAGCGATAAGGCCAGGAACCAACGGCGTTTCGGTTGCAACAGCTTGGGAGAGCTGGCTCAAAATGTTGGGGAGGACCGCCTGGACCGGAGAGGGGATGACAAGGGGAGGGATGGTCACGGCAGGTATGGCAATTCCTGAAGCTGTGAAGCCCGAAGGATCAACAGTGAGGTCAATGAGTGCTGGAACTCCCACAGTACCAACAACGGGGAGATTGGCCGAGATGCCACTGACGGAGAGGGTCAGGCCGGGTGCTGGCGAGACGATGACCCCAGGGAGCTGAGTGCCCGGAATCGTAACTCCAGGCAGTAGAGTCTCGGGCAAAGTTGGCAACGACACGCTTGGGAGTGATAGACTGGGTAAAGACACAGTCGGCAAGGTGAGAGAGAGGCTCGGTAATGAGATGGTCGGTAAGGTGAGGCTTGGGAGTGAGACGCTCGGCAAAGACACCGCTGGCAACTCCAAACTCGGAAGCGTCACACTCGGGAGAGATACGCTCGGGAGAGATACGCTCGGAAGAGATATGCTTGGGACCGAAATGCTTGGGAGAGACGCGCTGGGCAACGAGATCGATGGCAGTGTGGGAACCGGCGGAAGGGTCGGGACTGAGAGAGACGGCACCTGGACGGATGGTACCGACACAGACGGCAACGACACAGACGGCAGCTGAATCGAGGGAGCTGACGGGAGGGTCACCGTCACCGTCGGCAGAGGTAACGTAATCGCCGGGATACTGAGCCCAGGAACCGTCAGACTGATCGCTGGGCTCAGGCCAAGCGGAAGGTTGGCCGAGGCAGCAATGGTCACGCCTGGAAGCAACTCGCTGGGAATGACCTCGTTGAGCACCGACGAGATGGCACCCTCGAGAGCCGTCAACCCCTGGATGATGATAGGCACCGGGCCCGCAGTCACAGTGGTAAGCCTTGTTATCGTCACAGTAGGAAACCCGGCGATGGGAACTGTATCGTTGCGATGCAGAGTGTGGTCGTAGCCAACCCGGGACCTGTTCCGAGAGGATAGCCGATGTTCGACAGAGCGCTCAAAACTGCCTCGGGAGAGTATTGTCTGATAGTGGTGGGTTCGGCAGCCCTGGGAAGCGCTGGGGATGGAACTGGTGGAAGGAGGAGGTCAAGCACACTATCAAGGAGCCCGGTGACGGCCGGAACCACTCCGCTGAGGTCGCCAATGAGGATGTCGAGGAGGTTTGGCTGTCTTGGCTGGTTGAAAGACGCAAAGTATTCGAGGGTTTTCTCAGGGGTGCCGAACATCGACAGCAGACTTGGGTCGGCTTGACGTTTCTCTAGCTGCCCTTCGGAGTTGTCTGATACCGTCGAAGGTGTGTCTTGATCATGGTCTGATTGACGCTTCTCCAACGCTTCTTCTGGGAGAATCGGTGTAATCAGCCCTTCTACCAGACCCCCGATGTCAAGTTGGCGCTTCTTCAGAGACTCTTTAGACGCATCGTCACCGGCACTGGGGACGTCATGGAGGACTGGGGCGAGTACTGGGGCTGCTTGGTCCAAAGGAGCAGCTGCGACCGACAGACCGCCGAGGGCGAGGGTGCTGTAGAGAACAAAGTATTTCATGATGGGTTGTCGTTCCTAGCCACCATGGCTCTGCTTGATGATCCCAAGCTTCTCTCCCAAGGATGCCTTCATGATGGCATATGTACGACGGGCCGTTCCGTACAATCAACCATGGACCTGGGAGTGATTTCGAGAAAACGCGTCCAAATAATTCCTTCAGACGCGTGAAATGGAATGCCTCTGCCATTCTTTAATTCGATTGCTATATGTACGATGGTAGACATAATGGTGCGATATTGTCCCTCCTGCCCAGCCCAATTTTGTGATAGATTTCTCCGCATCACGGCAAGCTGTCTTGACTCCTGGAATGCGGCCAGTTCGCGTGCTCCCGAATGTCTAAGAAGACGGTCCGCTCATGTAGGGAGTGATCTTTGGCCACCGATAACTGTCGGCTGTCTTGATATATGGGGACCAATGCCATGTAAGCGGAAAAGGAAGAAAGATCCCGAACGACAAGGCAGTGTACATGGCTACAGTACACTGTGTTCGATGCATGATGCACTCGCATCTCCATCAACGTATGGTGTTTCGACTGTTATCCAGTCCGGCTTGAGCCACTTGGTCAAAGCTGCGATGCACGGGTTTGGTGGTGAGGATATCAGACGAAAGTGGTAAAAGAGTCTGAGGAGGTTTCATGATGCCGTGGGGGAGGTCTGAAACATGCCGCCGAAGAAGTGATGCTGATCAATTGCAGACACCGGCAGATTTGGGTGAACGGTTTGGACGCGAGCCACTTTTGGCGTCGTGTCGGTTTGTCTCCCCGCGGAGAGCTCAATCAGTTGGCGCGACGAAGAAAGGAGAGAGACGAGGGGAGACCAGAAGAGGGGGCGGGTGCAGACTCTCGGCGATGCTGAGCTGAGGTTGGCATTGTTGTGTCCCACCCCATTTCCATTTCCTGTGCGTTACTCTACGCTCGTTGGAGGTTTGGTTGGGTCACATCGACTCTCCCCTCTCCGGTTCCGCACACAAAGAAAAACTGACCCCATTCCGGCCGTCAACAAGAGTGGGAAACTGGGGGGCAGTTGACGATTGATGATCTCGATTCTTGAGTAGAAGTCGATGATAAAGAAGGTCAAAGAAGGATGGCGTGGATGGTTACCTAGTCGCTGAATTGGTCAGCTTCGGAGGCCCATCCATGTGTCGGCACGGCGTGAGACCTTTTTTTTCAGGTGGTGGATGCGACGGCCCAATCCCAAGATACCAAAAATGGGTTGGGAGACTGGCCGTGTGGCCTGTGCCGGGGAGCGAGGAGGTCACGGTGCGTGATGAAATCCACGACTCGAGCAATCTGGCATAGCGTCATTCCAGTACCCTAGATATCTTCAAAATCTAAAATCCAAAATCCAAAATCATGCCGAGTCTTTTTGTGTGTACGGTCAGGTGGGCTGAGGTGGTGTGTGGCTGCTGCTGTATCGTGCTGAGAGAAGCCTAAAAACCTGCACCTCCAGGGCAAACTCTGGCGAAAAAGATGGGACTGGTGATGATCCGGAAAGAAGGGGAAAGGAGCGCAATTTGACGAGTGCGCAGCCTCCAATGAATGGGAGAGCCGATGATTGGTTGACCTGAGGTACAGAGGTACTTAGGGTTGGGGTTATGTACCGAGAACCAGGCCCCAGAAAAATCCAAGACGAGACTCCCTTGCTGTTGTTGGAGACTCCGCGCAGTGTCCCCCTCGGTTCGTGCGAACAAGTCGACTGCCCGACCTTATTCTTTGGCAGCATGAAGGCAAAACAGGTGGACAGCCCGCCGCCTCACCATGGCTGCGAGGGCTCCAAACTTTTCAACCATTCCCATTCCCATCGTTCCCATTCTCTCTTTCCCACAACACTTCCCGATGCCCATCATCACCACAATCCATCATCACCACCCTCACCAACCACCACCTCATCACCACCACCAGCCCTCCCCGTCAGCAATAATATTAGCCTGCGTCAGGAATAACGTGCAACGCTGAGCTGCACACACACAACCAGCAATTCACCGCATCACCGCCCCGACAAAGCAAAATTTCCAACCAGCCAACCACCACTTCTTCCATCACCAACTCCAACGCCCACCACAACGTCGTCGGCTTTTCTGTTGGGCGTCATGGCTCCTTCCAGCAAGAGCGCCGCTGCGGCCAAGGACCGTAGAAAGTCCAACAACAACTCAGCTGGTCTCGTCACCCTCAGAGTTCCCAGCGCCAAGCTCCGAGCTATCGTCGACCCAGATTACGTGAAGGAAGATTCGCCAGTCAAGGAGTCGCCTGCCACATCGACGACGCTCCCGGCTGCGACGGTGAATTCCACCACCGAAAACGCGTCGGATTCGAGCCCCAATACTCCAGCCGCCGGCACACCTGCACCCCCCTCTGTGAGCATGGGCCCTCCCGCCGAGGGTCCCAAGAAGAAGGGCGTCAAAAGAGGTGCGGCTGCTCTCAACGGAGAGCCCAAGGTCCGTGGGAAGCCTGGCCCCAAGAAGAAGCAGAGACTGTATGTCACCCTTCCATCATTCATCCCATCATCACTGACTGCCCCTTTACCTGATGCATTGCTGACACATTACACAGTGAGGATGGAACCATCGAAGGCGGTAGAGCCAGTCTCGGAGCTCACAAGCTCGGTCCCAAGGCCAACCAAGGTGCTATCAATGCTGGCCTTCGCGCCCTCGACAGATCTGGCAAGCCCTGTCGCAAGTGGAGCAGAGGCGGCTTCACCATGAAGAGCTTTACCGGCGTTGTCTGGGAGATCCCACGCTGGGTCGCACCTCCCAAGATCTCGCCCGAGACTTCCACAGACTCATCATCAGCTCCAGTCTCGGTCGACGGCAGCAGCAAGGAGAATAAGGACAGTGCCAGCCAGCAACTCAAGAGCGACACAAGTAACAATGGCGGCGACATCGAGATGACCAGCGCTCCCAGCATCAGTGCTGCTCCCTCCCCAGTGCCACCGGCACCTGCTCCTATCGCCGCCGCCTCTTAAATCATCATTGAACCATTCTATGCTGTCAGCGAGTTCATTCGTTTAATAATCCCTTTTTAACAACATGGCGAATCACGGGATATGATTTGCATCAGCCAGCACAGCACAGCACAGCACAGCACAGCACAGCACACAGCCTTGGGCGTTCCGGTTTCTTTTTCAGGTGTAATTGGTGGGGGCGTTCTGATTGCTTTTACTTTTCACTTTTCATTGCACCAGGTGTCACACAGGGCGAGAGCAGGCAAGGCAAAAACTGGAACAGGGGGGACGGCGACGGAGCGGCCGTTTGCTTCGTCTGGGGTTCATCATGACGCACTGGCCAGTCAGGTTCAGTGTGTGGCAAGGCGTTTAGGAGCACAAGGGAAAGATGGTTTGGGGTTTTGGGAGAGACAGGAGAGACAAACAATTGAGTGACTGTATATTAGGGTTGTTGATAGGATGGAAATGGAGTTTGGCCTTCTCCGCCGTAAGACAGAGAAGAGGCAGGCAGGGGAACAATGAGGAAAGGGGATAGATCTTTTTTCACTTGGTGCTCATCAAACATCGTTTGTCGGTTTCGTGATTGGGAATTTTAATGTCTGCAAAGTGTCGGGGTTGCCGGAAAACAAGGCGTTCTTCCATGGCGATGGCATTTACACCTCGGGCATCGGTGTTGAAAATACAATGAATCAACAAACGCCTTTCATTGTTCACTTTATGATCAATATTTACACGGTGCAAAGATGGACACAATAAAGAAGGAAACCCCAGCGAACTTGGATCGGATGAATGCTCCAGGTCATCTGGTCAAAGAGGTTCTTTATTTCACAACACCTTGGCTCTGCTCTCAGGCCCAGGGGATAATTCATCCGGTATGACTCGGGAAAGGCCGTCCACATAAAATTCAAAATAAAAACCGCAGAGAAAAATAAAAAAACCTGTGGGGTTTTGTTCGACCATGACCAGGCGGTTACGTACGAATGAAGGATGGTGATGTTGGTCAAGCAGAGACAGTAGTGAGAGAAAATCCCCCGATCTGATTTAGAGTGATCAATTTTGGGGAGTTGAGTGGTTGCAGGTTTGAGAAAATGAGCAGTCAGCTTGTGCCTCTTCCTGTGTGCTTCCTCTTCTGTGTCTTGTCCGGTTTTGGTTTTAATTCTTGGTTCACCACATCGCCATTGCATGGCAGGATTACGTCGAGGGAGAGAGAGAGAGAGAGGTACGGAGGTACCTCGCTATATTCCGTGCCAGTGGCATCAAGTAAAGATGCCTCAGGTTGCTGTCGGTGAGGCTTTCACTTGATTGGTTGGCGAGGTTGGGGAATTCCAGTTCAGCAAACTTGTCACGATTATCTGTGAGAATAGCAGGAGAACACATATCTGTAGACAGCTTGAATGAAATGTTCGACTCCTCCCCTGATGAATCCGAACATCGGAACAAGTTGTCCCCCCAAAAGATGACGACGATAAGGCAAGTGTGTCGTGAGAGAGAGAACGCTTTGGCCACTCACCCACTGTGGAACTTGTGGGTCTCCATAGAGACAAGCGTTGGGGGAGACCCCATGATCCTGCCAGTGCCCACTGCCCGCCCAGAATCTCCACTGACACGCCAGATAGGGACCCGCACTTGCTGCCAGAAGCGACGTCCCGGGCACCTCACAGGCAATGATTGACCCGACTTGATTAGAAAGACACTCAGAACAGAACCGAGAAGCAGCAACCTCGATTGATTGATCCTCACCACGGCTTTCCCCAAACATATTCCCCTCCCTCCAGTAACTACCAACCTAGCCAACGCAGCCATCAAAGCCACCTCTGCTAAAGACGCCGGGTCCTAGAATCTATGACATAGCGTCCCAGCGACAAGAAAACCGAGGGCACCTAGTACCGCTTGAACTGTCGACACACACACACCTCACCAGCTACGCACAACGCCCCAATTACCGTAAAGCTATAAGCCCCCTTCAACCACCGTATAACACGTTTGTCACTTTACGAGGTACGGGGCTCGGGTGGCCGTCTTGCGGTCTGGAGATCCTGCCGTCGTCGTTGTCGCCGCCCAAGAGCTCGGTAGTGACCAGCTCCACCCCTCCCTGTTCTTTCTCCCCCTCAGCTGCTCCAGCTGTTGCCACCCCTCACCATGACGAACCCATACCAACAGTCACAGCAGTCACAGCACGGCGCAGCCGCCAGCAACTTCCCCAGGAGTACCTCATACGCCTCCATCGTCTCTGGATCTCAACAGCAGCAGCAGCAATCCGCTACCCGATCATCGGCCTTGGGGTTCTCACATATCCTTGACCCGAACCCTGACGCCGAACTCGATACACACAATCCCTACTACCCCGAGCTCGATAGACTTTTCTCGCGACCCAATATCCCAACATTTGGCGGTGCCGGCATGGATATGGACACAGGATATACATCACGAAACCAAAACGAAAACGGACACAACAATAATAATACCAATAGCGGGCCGTGGCCACCACCCGCAAGACTAGGTTCCAACTTTTCAATGTCCAGGGCGTTCGACATGTTTTTAAACAAGGAACCTTTAAGCTTCGCCGATGCTGCAGATGTGGACAGCGCCGCGCATAAGGGAACCGGCGCGGGCGCCAACCCCTTCTTGTCCGGCGGGACAGCGCCAAACTTTCTTGCCCCCTCTTACCTCCGAGGTACCACCTACCTCACCAAGCTGGAAGAGCAGCACCGAGCGAGAATTTTGGCCGAGAGAGAAAGAGAGGCTAGCGTACCAGGTGCGAAAACGCAGACGAGAGCAGGAGTACTAGCCACCAACGGAAACAGTCATCACACTCTATCGCCCATGTCTGGAAAGGTGCACACAGGCGGGGGATCACACCGGGGGGTGGCCTTTGATGTGGTGGAAAAGTCGGCGTTGAGCCAGGGTTTGGTCGAGGAGGAAGTCAATCCGTTGCCGTCGAGGTGGAACATGGACGACAGGGAACCCTCCCTAGAGCTCTCGGGCGATGGCTATGAAGTTACCTTCACCGGGCGGATGAGCAATGAACACGAGGCCTCGGCAGTGAGGGCTGATCACCCCATGAATCCGGCCTGTGGCATATACTACTTTGAGATCACGGTCCTGAACAAGAAGAAGTCATCGACCGACGACATGCCACCCATTGCGATTGGCTTCTCTAGCCAGATGGCCGCGCTGAACCGGGCGCCGGGATGGGAACCGGAGAGCTGGGGGTACCATGGGGACGACGGAAACTGCTTCGCCGCGCAAAACGTAGGGAAGGCGTACGGCCCCAAGTTTGGTCCGAAGGATACGGTCGGGTGTTGTATCAATTTCCGGCTGGGGCAGGCGTTTTTTACAAAGAACGGCAAGGAGCTGAGTAGGTTTTGATATCTGTGGGAAATCAAAAGAAGGCGGTTGCTAACATGTGGAACTGCAGAGGTGGCGTTTCGGGACATCAACTTTAAGGATGTGAAGGCGGGCAAGTTGTTTCCCATGGTCGGGCTCAAGAAGACGGGGGATCACATCTGGGCCAACTTTGGGCAGCAGCCGTTTATGTTTGATATTGATAACTACATGCTGGTCAGTTTGTTCAACACTCGGAACAGGGCGAGTGGTAGCTAACGTTCGTGGCATAAACAGGAGCAGCAACAGATTATCGAAGACGAGATAAACCGTGTCGATACACGCATCCTAGCACCAGGACTGTCAGAAACGGAGCTTATTCAGCAATTGGTTTTGCAATTCCTGCAACATGACGGCTACGTTGAGACAGCTCGTGCTTTTGCGGAGGAGATCCATTCCGAGAAGTCGGCTCTTCGGCTTAGTGCCAAGGAACAGGTCAAGGGCATCAACATCAAAGACGACGAGGACGCCAACAACCGCCAGAGGATCCGTCGAGCGATACTCGAAGGCGATATCGACCGCGCCATGCGTTACACGGAGCAATACTACCCCAACGTCCTCAAAGAAAACGAGCAGGTTTATTTCCGTCTCAAATGCAGGAAGTTCATCGAGATGATTCGCAAGGAGGCCGAGATGAACCTAAAGTTGGAGGATCGAAACCGGCGACTCGAAGAGCAGCGCAGCAGACAAGGCCTGGGGGATAATGACGAGGAGATGCAAGATGAGTGGGATGACGAGAGGGAGTTCTACATTGATCAACTCGGGAAGCTCTCGATGGAGGCACTGGAGTACGGACAGGAGCTGAGGGCCGAGTTCACCAACAATCCGAGCAGAGAGATGACGAAACACCTGGATGAGATTTCCAGTCTGATTGCCTATCCGCATCCGCTGCAGGTGCCAGAGGTGTCTCATTTGATGGATGCGAAGGGGAGAGTGGCCGTGGCGGAGGAGTTGAACTCTGCTATACTGAGTAGGTTTCTTCCTTGTTTCTGCCCATGTGTGATGGGAGGCGTTGCTAACTAATATGACCAAAGCATCACTCGGCAAATCATCCCGCGCAGCACTCGAAAACGTTTACGCCCAGACCTCGGTGCTTCTGGAGGACCTGGCGAAGGACGGGGGACCGGGTGCTTTTGTGACGTTGGAGGCGCTCTTCAGGCAGTTTCCACCCAGCAAATTGCTTTAGGGGGCAAAATCAAAAGGCAAGGAAGGCGCATCAATGGTGGAAGAGATGGAAACAGGGGCGTTGAAATGTTGTTTGGACATGAGTATACAGCCCGGGACGCGAGAGGGATGCCTGATCATCAGCAGACATGTTAAGCGCAACATCACTAAACAATCAAGAGAATGGCGCATGGCGTTACTGGAAAGGGGTGGTTTTTCTTTGGACCAAACATACAACAGCAGAGCAGCGGATGGAGGAGCGGAATGGAGAGAAACAAGGCAGCATTACCTGGCGGTTCTCGATATAAAACCAACTTTTTCTCTCCTCTTGTTTCGGGAGTTGGTGAGGGTGTGGTGTTTATGGTGCTATTCACAACCAGGTTGTCTGTTCAGTGGGGTTGTTTTTTTTTTGCGGTGGTCCTTTCTCTCTCTCTCTATCTATTGGGCATTTTGGTCTGCTGGCTTTTATTGTGTAGCTCATCTCCATCCTCAGTTTCTCACCTTGTAGTCGGCTCTCCATCTGGCCTCTCGTGAGTGGTTTGGTGGTGAGGGGAATCATCTCAGCTTGGATTTTGGGCCTGGTTTTTGGCTTATAAGTATGCATGAATAAACATATCAAATTGAATATAAGTTACTGTGTCGATATGGGAGGTGAGAAATGTGAGGGTGGGTTTTGTATGGTCTTACGGAGTACTGCCTGTTCTCTCTCCTGTCCCTATGCCCCTTTTCGAAACCCTAACCCTCCACTGAATGGTCGGTGCCTGCCGAGTGGCTTTTGAGAACTTGCATGCCCCGCCGTTGCGACTTGCCCCACCATGAGTTTCGCCGTTTGAGCTCCAGGACAGTTTTGTCTTTTTGCTTTTGCGCAACCGACAGCCGCGATTTTGACACACTCTCTTCCCAATCGATCGTATTATTTCTACAATTAGACTCACAGGGAACGAGCGCCCATCGGACTCTCGCAGCGAAATTCTCACTCCCATACCACACATCACCCAGAAGAAAGTAAAAGAGACATCATGGGCGACGCTGAACAACTTCCCCCGGTGGCCGACCAGCCAACAGATGCAACAACTACAGAAAGTACACAAGAGCAGAAACCCGACGACCTCGAAGCCATCCTGGCGCGCCACCGCAAGGAACTCCGCGACTTGCAGTCGAGGGTGACGCAAAAGAAGAAGAATGCGACCAAGAAGACGAGGAAAAAGGTTAATGAGGAGTGTGCTGAGCTGGAGAGGGGGTTGAAGGAGAGGCACGAGGCGGAACTGGCGCAGGTTACGGGTGGCGGCGGTGATGCTGAGCCTGAGCCCGTATCAGAACCTGAGGAGGAGGGGGGAAAGGATGAGGTTGAGACTGTTACGGAAAGGGTTGAGGAAATGAGGGTTACACCACCACCATCACCACCACCACCACCACAACAACAACAACAACAACAACCAGGGAAGAAACGAAACCGGCAGAAGGAAAGATTGGCGAGACGGCAGGCTGAGGTTGAGGCTGCTAGTGCCAGGGCGCAGGAGGAGGCGTCGCGGATGACGGATCATGGGGCTGTGGAGAAGCTTCATGTTGATGGGGTTTTGAAGAGGGAGGGGTTGGAGGAGGTGGAGGTTAGGGCTGATGGGCATTGTTTGTTTGCTGCTGTTGGCGACCAACTTTTTCGGAGGGGGGTGACGGAGGAGTTGTTGGATTATAGGGAGGTGAGGAGACGGGCGGCGGAGTATATGGACAGGAACAGGGATGATTTTGAGCCGTTTGTGGATTTGGAGAGTCAGAGTTGGAAGGAGTATTTGAGGAAGATAAGGGATACTTCTGCTTGGGGGGGGCAGCCGGAGCTGCTGGCTCTGGCGAGGGTGTTTGGGGTGGGCATTACGGTTGTGCAGGTGCCGAGGAATGAGGTTATCAATAGGGAGGGGGGGGGGAAGATGCTGTGGGTGGTTTATTATTGGAAGGGGAGTAATTCGGGGAGGCATTATAACTCTTTGAAGTCTGTCTCTTAGGGGAAGGAGGGAGGAATGGACTGGATGCAGTCATAGAGAAAAACAAGGACTTGGAGGTTGCTAGAAACCCTTGTTGACATGAAATAAAAATATAACACCTTCGACGAGTCCTCCCGACTACCTTGTCTTCAAAGACCATCAACACATAAGGCTGATCAACTACTTGGAAGACCTCTCAGTTATCTTTGAACGGCTGTTGATTACGTTGAAACCCCTCATTTCCAGCAGGAGTCTCCTTTTGTTATATATTCCACGACGTCAATGTTTAAAAATAAAACCATCTCAACAGCATCACCAATATCAGAAATGCTGATAGCCTTTCCCCAGCTTCCAAGAATGTGGGGGAGCAAGGAAAGCAAGTCTTGGCCTTTTGGAGAAATCGCGGGGAATTTTTGTCGGTTTGGTACCCAATCAGGTTAATGATGCTGCCCGTTGGGGAATAGACCCTTTGTTTGTGACGACGAACCTCGGCTTCCGGCTGGCGGCTGTCTCCTCCTCAACGGTTTAGATATCGATTGTCCATCTCTAGGATTTGTGTCTAGATTTGTCGGAAAAGGACGTCCTTGGGGATATATACATCTACCCAGTTCATCTCATCAGCTTGATATTCTTGCTTCAACCAACATACACCCCAACAAGCTGTCAGTCACACCACAGTACAAAATGGACGTCAACAACCTCTTCTCCATCAAGGTACACCCCCCCCTCACTCCCCCTACCCTATCTCCCCCCCCCCTTCCTGCTAACTTCCCCAGGGCAAAGTAGCCCTCATAACCGGCGGCGCCAAAGGCGTCGGCCTCATGATCTCCACCGCCTTTGTGTCCGCCGGCGCAAAAGTGTACATCTCGTCCCGCGACGCCACCGCCTGCGCCTCCGCCTGTGCAACCCTCAACACCATCACCCCCAACTCGGCCTTCTCCCTCCCCGCCGACCTCCAGTCCGAAAAAGAAGTCCACCGCCTAGCCGCCGAGCTCACCAAGCTCGAGCCGGGGGGGCTGCACATACTGATCAACAACTCGGGCGCCACCTGGGGCGAGCCCTACGAAAAGTACCCCGACGCCGCCTGGACCAAGCTCCTCACCCTCAACCTCACCCGCGTCTTCACCCTCACCCAGGCGCTCACACCCCTGCTCATCAAGGGGAGCAAACAAGACGATCCGGCGAGGGTGGTGAATATCGGCTCCATCGATGGGTTGCGCGTTCCTCTCCTTCCAACGTTTGCGTACAGTGCCTCCAAGGCGGGCCTGCACCATCTGAGTAGACATCTTGCTGTTGAGCTGGGACCAAAGGGGATAACGGTGAACAACCTCGCGTGTGGGCCTTTTCCGAGCAAGATGATGAAGCATACTTTGGACACGATGGGGGAGGTGATCAAGGAGGCGAATCCGTTGGGCCGAGTAGGACAGCCCGAGGATGTGGGCGGGGCGTGTTTGTTTTTGTGCAGCAGGGCGGGGGGTTATGTCAACGGGGCTACTTTGGCGTTGGATGGGGGGGTTCATTTGATGGCCAAGATTTAGGGGCAGAGAGAAATCAGGAATGGGAGAAGGTTAATGGGGTTATATACCAAAGAGCGAAAGATATTCCCTCTGTTTAGAAGTGGTTGCGTTATGCGAGCAAGAAGCGTTGAACAATCGACCGGCATGTGAATATTTATCATATATTTACATAATCATGTCAAGACTGGACATCTTCAACATGGGGAGATGGCCTTGTGAAAATGACTTCAAGTTCCGGCTCCCATGAACGTTACACATCATATGATTATCCTCATTTGACAAGTATCAAAAGTTGTACAATTACTATTCGTGGTTGTATGTAAAAGACCCAAAACCCAGATGCACCTTGACGGTAGAAACAAGATATGTAGTGAAAAACCCAAAACCCGAATGCTCATCCCATAACCTGTACACCCAAATCCTAATACGCCATAATTCCTATCCCACTCCCTATACCCGACCATGTGTGTTGTTGTTGTGCCCCGTGATGATCCGATCCGGTGATCCGATAATGATAAGCGACAAAGTGATGAGCGATGATGTTGACGAAAAAAACAAGAAAACGAGGCGGGGGGCCTTGACGTTTCTCTGGAGAAATGCCCCACCGGTTCAACTTTTTGTCCCACCTCTCCTTCTCCAATTCTTCCTTCTCCAACCCTAAGAAGCTGATGACGCCAGCCCAGCGACCATCTTATCAAAAGGAGGAATTTATGAAAGGCCCACGCTCTCAAAATCCCTCATCAGCACCGCCATTTGCGCCCGTTTCGCCGCCTCGGCGACGAGTGTGAAGTCCTTGAGAAAGGGGTCTGTCGATGATGTCTTGGGCGTCTGTCTTGGGGGCGGGACAATCTTGGAGGACGAAGAGGAGGCCGAGGAGGAGGTGAAGGGAGACTGTTGGGTGGAAGACCCAGTAGAGGTGAAGCGGGAGTCCATCTTGTGTAGCAGTGGTGTTTGTATCGTGGTAGTGACTGACGATGTTTTGGTTTGGTGGGTTGTATGTGTGCTTGTGTGTGTCCTTTCTAAAAAAAGAGAGAAAAAGAGACAGGAGCAGGCCGAGCGAAGAAACCAGTTTTATGTACCCGTCCGAAAGGTCGGTGAGAGAAAGCCCGAGAGTATGACGCTGGCGCAGGAAAAAAAGAATCCCCTTGCAATAATGGTAGTTGGGGCTGCGGTGGGAGGAGATTAGAGACAAGCTGGGTCCTTGCCTGTGGGTGGTGTAGTGTATGTGGATTCCTTCGAGAGGCACCACAGAGAAAGAAAAAAAAAAAGACGCTCGCTCGTTCGATAAGGGGAACGTGGGCAATGCGTCCGCGGGAGATGTTGTATCACCACCACCTTTTTGTCTTCTTTTCCCACACGAAGAGGAGCAAAGGGGGGCTTCCGATCGATCAGGCGCAGCCGGTGAGATGGGTAGTATCTCGTAGCGAACAAAGCCTGTGAAAGAGAGAGGTCCTCGGCTGAATACAACCTAGACTGAGGGGAGGAGGTAAGGTAATTTGGCTGGAGTTGTGTCGTAAGAGGGACGGGATGAGGAGGCTGCAAGCTGCAAGGCAAAAAGCAAGATATGCAGGTAGATGCTGCCGGAGGGAGCGCTCTCAAACGATGACTCGTGCGTGATGCGCACTGCAAAAGGCCCAAAGGAGTTTTGATAAGATAAGGCCTTGATCAGGTCAGGCCAGCGAGAGGAGGGGATACAGAAAAGAGTGGGTGCGGGCAATATTGCGATATTGGGTGTTTATAACTGTCGGTAGACGACTTGGTTGCGTGCTTCTTGCTGCTGGTGGGGGAATATCGATATGGTGGGGGACCGAGGGGTGGCCGAGGGGGGAAACAATGAGGTCAGGACAGAACTTTACGTATACGACAACACCTCGACGGGAGAGACACGGCAGGGCAAGCGAGGGGGAGAGGGCACAGGGGAGAGGGAACACAGAGCGATGGTGTTGATCTAGTTATAGACAACAATGAATCAATCGCCCGTCTTTTATTTTTCTTTATCTCGACATCGTCCCCACGACTGGAAACGGCGTCATCGGTTTCCACTCCTGCCCAGGCTGCTGCCCCTCTTTAGATGGCGTCGAGGTTAAAAAAGAGACATCGAGATACCTCCGCGAAAGAGCCGGCACCAGGACCGAACACCCGTTTTGCCCGTGTCTTTGCCTGAAGACGCACCGAACGGTCTCGCCCCGCAAGTACCTCGGGGTCACTCGCAAAAGTAGCGTCGGCGCATGTGTCCGGGATGCCTGCTACATACCGTCAAAAACCCCCACACTCTGCGACGACAACAACTCGCAATATCAGGCCAGTGTTTGCTGTTGTTGTGACATTGTGACAGCCAGACAGTCACAGGCTCGCGCCTTCGGCCTCAGCTAAAACACTCGCCCCAATCTCCAAATCCCCATGGGGGTCGTAAAAATCCGGGGGACTGATGGCTGGGGCCGAGCTTGGGTCGTCTGGCGTCGAGCTTGAAATGTTTCGACATGCCGAGGGGAATCTCTCTCTTCCAAGCTGCTAGCTCGGGTTCACGTGGAAACGCAAGGACGCATGGGAATTGCTGTCGGATAGGTGATCGAGTGGGAGAGTAGGATCCAGGGAACAACGAGGATTCTTCGGAGCTTTAGCTTCCACAGGCTGCAGCCCAGTTGCCCAAAAGGATTCCACCGTATCTCCGATGATGCCTCTTGGTGGTAGGAAAGCAGGGGTCGCCTGGCGGAGCCTCAATCGCCTCGGCAGGGCTGCTGCATGGATGAGGACGGGGGAGAGGAACGGCGACAGGCATTGTCGGCCCTTCGCCCGGCTTTGACACTTTTCTTGTTAAGTTGGCCGGCGAGACTCCGGGTTTTTTTTTTCTCGCTTTTCTTTCGTCTAGGCAAGACTAGCGTACAATTGCCAACGAAGAGGGAGCTTCCTGACCGGTCAGGTCGTCCCGAGTGGCTTTCCGTCCAGGGCCGCAGCGGATAAGATGGTGGCAGTCCAGGCCGGCGATAGATTAAACTCAGTACGACGCCATACCCAGGATTTTCCTCGGCCGGCGCTGCAACACAAGCGACATGGCCCTGCGTCGAGAAGTCTTGACCGAGACATCCTTCAGTCCGCTCTTCCTGACCTTCCTATTTCAAAACGTAAAAAAGACTCGTCCTATGGCCAGGGAACGGCGTCTATGGGCGGCCATCGCGGCAAGTAACGACCTCGTCAAGAAGTATTTAGCCGCCTCCAGGTCCCGAAGTTCCGCCAGATGAATTTTCACGGTGGCAAACTTTTGAGATACTCGGTCTAATCACGTCAATCTTGTTTCTTCTTTTTTTTTGGGTTTTGCTGTTCGGCAGGTACGGGTATTGTCGATTCTGCATCCGAGGAATCTGATGATGGTGGACCAAGAAGGTAAGCAATCGATATTAACCACCAGGATGTGTCGATCGTCAAAGTGTCACTAGGACCCCTTCTCCCACATGAATTCCGCAACGTTGCTCTTCCTTCCCCCCCTCCTAAAAAATTGCGGCATTCTATGACATCTCGCGGCATCGAAGAATGGCACAAGACAGTCAGCTGATTCATCTGTCTTGGGCAGCTGCCACCACACCAACAGCCCTACTATTTGCTAGACACAAATGAAAATAGACTCTATAATGCCACGGGAACCCCTCGAAGTTGTATTGGGCGCAGGAATCTCGAACCGTTTTTCCAATATGACCGGTTCGTTTATTCTAGAAAAAAAGTCGTGGGGGTTGTGTGCGCGGGTTGTGGTATCAATCACGGCCTTGCATTCTGTAAATTGGGGGGTTTGAGAGAGATAAGCCTGGACCGTTGTTAGGGTCTAATCGATAAGCGCACCTCACCCCGCCAGGGGCAGGCATCTTCCGACACGGATACGGGATAGCCCCCCGGCATTTCATGCAGCTTCCCGCAGCGTTTTGGACCCACCCGCCCGAACTTCTGCACTTTGATCGGTGGGGCCGCCGATGTCAGCACCGAACATTCAGAATTCCATACACCAGCAGCACAGCAACAGTGACGATGGCCTCAGCTACAGCAACCCCACCAAAACCCTCCGCGAGGCCAAACCAGCCGGCGCCTTCGCTGTGGTCTATCCCAGCCCCTCTCCAAAAGCTCTTCAACCAGTTCCCCCTCGTAACCCTCGACCCGAACCCCCTCCCAGCGCGGTCTCAAACCCTTACCTCGGCGTCCGACACCCTCCCAACACTTTATATCTTCTCCTCCGACGAGGATGCGCTGGAGGGGAAACCATCAATAAACCCAACATGTCTTAAATGGCAGGTCAGTGGCCCTGTCCCCTTGCTCCCGTTCCTGTCCATACCCCAGCTAACCCCCCTCCCCCAACCATCAGACCCTCCTCCGCCTCTCCCACGTCCCCTTTCTAACCTCCCCCTCCTCAAACCACGCCTCTCCCACCGGCTCCCTCCCCTTCCTCCTCCCGCCCCGAACTGTCTCTCCCAACCCGATCCCCTCAACCTCCATCCCCCTTTACATCTCCCGCCACACCAACTCCCCAAAGGAAAAAAAAACCTCCCCGCGTTCGGAAGCCTACCTCTCCCTCCTAACCCCCCTCCGCCTAGCCTTCCTCCAAACTCTCTACCTCACCCCTGCCTTCACCCCCCTCCTCAAAAAATTCTACATCGACCCATCAACCCGCTCCTCAGTCCTAGGAACAATCCTCCAAACCCAACTATCAGCCGCAGCCTCCTCCGCAGTGTTGCAAGGTCTGGGTTTGCACAGCCAGACAGGAACAGGCGGCATCGACTCTGAGAACCTCTACGCCGACGCAGCCGAGGCTTTGGACTCGCTCGCGATCCTCCTGCAGGAATCCCAAACGGGCTGGTTTTTTGGGGAGGAGAAACCGGGCGAGTTCGACGCTGGGTTGTATGGTTATGTGGGGGTTATAATGGCGCACATGGACACGCCAGAGGGCAGGTTGGGAGGGCTGGTGAGGAGAGCTGGGGGTGGTGGAGGAGAGTTGGTTGGCTGGTGGGAAAGGATTAGACGCGAGGCATGGGGGGGTGATGGTTTATCAGAGGGGGGGGAGAAATAAATGTGTGGTTGGGAGGCGGTTGGTTGCATGATAGAGAGACGGGGAAAATGCATATATGAAAACAAAGGATGGAGAGATACCCAGGCATAAATCAGCATTCCAAAATTAAATTATTTGTCTCTTTCTTGTGTCATCATCATCATCATCCTGTGAAAGACAGTGTCTGCCTATCATCTATATACACTTCGTCAGCACTCCAATCTTGAAAATCAATACGCACGACATTAAAGGGGTAACAAACACACAAAACACAAACAACCACACCCAAGATAAACAAAACCGGTGCTTTTTAAAATAACGCTGCCTGCTGCTATGCTGCGCTCGCTAATGCAAATAACTTTCCCAAAAAGCTCTGCGACATTGACCACCGCATGACTCTGCAATCATCACCGTACCCCTCTCCACATTTTCCACACCCTCAGTCAACAGTGCCCAGCCTCGCGGCCTGCCTGTATAAACACAATACCAGCCCATCCGTCCACCTGCAGATCTTCTAGATAGGTACACGTCCAAAATAAAACTAAAAACAAATACATCGAATGGTAAGAGAGAAAGGAAAATAGAGCCACATATCAATGATGGCTTCAGCTGTGTTGCGTGCGTGCGTGCGGTAAATGGTATCACTCTTCCCCACCTCCCTGATAATGATACCCTCCCCCCCCCCCCCAAATTAACGTTGTAGCTTTCCCATCTTTTGAAACTCCCAAGAGAAACTCATGTCTTTTGGATAGAGATGTCGCCCAACGCTTGTATAGAAATGACAATAAAAAAAATCGACGTCAGTCATGACTGCAATAGTGATTAAGAAAAAGATCAAAAGCCCTTGAAAGGATCGTCCCTCGTATACCATTCATCCACTTCATTCTCAGTGGTTGCTCTGGTACCTCGGCTGTGGTAGCTGTCCCGTTGTCGGCTCCGGCTGGCTTGACGCCTCGACTCCTTGCTCCTCCTACGAGCAGCATGTCGACAGTCGTCGTCCCGCTCATGGGCATCCTCATACGGGGTATCGCTGAATCGACTGAACGCTAGAGGGCTGATAAAGGCCTCCATGCGCACAGTGCCAATGGCGTCAAAGAAATTGGGACCGTTTGGCCGGTTCGAAGCTTCAGAGGTCCGCACCGACCCTGTTCCCCAGGTAATGGCGCTGGATGCCCCTGTGATGGCGCTCGCCGCTGCATTGCTATAAACATCCGATGATCCCGCAATGCTGTTTCCTGCCGTACTATTCGATGAGGCATGGTGGCCTCCACCTCCTAGCGGTGTCGAGAAGCCTCCCGAGAAGCCTCGGAAGGAGAGCGGTGGTGGCACGTGGCCGCCAGTGTTGCTACGCTTGCGGCCGTGTACTCCACGCTCGCCATACCGTGTAATGGGAGGTGGTGCAGCCGTGTCTGTGGATTCCTCGCGCGTGTGGGATGGAATGGAATAGAGATCAGGCATCGGTGGCCGGTAGCCCCCGATGGCGGGGGGTGCGCTGTCCACCTCCAATGATGGGGGCTCGATGGGATCAGACTTGATCACCGGCGCTCCGGTCTTGGCCTTGGTAAGGCGAATCGAGTCTCTAATCGGTCGCCGTACTTTGGGCTTGGGCAACTCATACTGCTCCGGCGATGGCTTCGCTTGTGGCACGGGCAAACTCTCCGGGATGGCCTGGTTGGAGTGGGCAAGGAATGAAAGCGAGTTCAACCAGATGTAATGACGCTCGGCGCTGGAAGCCGTAAACTTAAGGGCGCGTTGCGGCGTCAGGATCAAGATAGACCTGTTGAATAGCGGACCAGCTCCCCTAGGAGGCGGATTGTCGTCCTTGACATCAATGACGGACTGAATCGTGACTGAAGAGGGGTTAGTATCGGTCCGGAACATTGTGTTGATTCGTGAAAACGTACGCTTGCGGCCAGATTTGCCCAGAAGAGCACCTCCCGTGGTCGGTTGCTTGCTGCTCCAGAGGATACAACGATCATATGGCTGAAGCCAAACCCATCTCTTGTGACGATCATTGCTGGTGTCATCGCCACCCTTGACATCTGCCATCCCAAACGATTTGCGTCTCCGCACATACTTGTACATCCACTCACCCACCATCGTCTGAGCAATCGCTTCCACAACCGTAAATGCCTTCTCCTTCGGTTCTGCCTGCGAAGCGGCGGCCGTCTCCCCAGTGGTTGCCGTGTTGGACGAGGGCTGGGACCTGTGGGACCTATACTTGGCGTACGTATTGGACTCCTTGTGCCGCGGCGTAGTAATGTCATTTGATGGCAATGGGGGAAGATCCGGGCTCTCGGGGATATCGACCGACTCGTTGAAACGAGACGGTGAGCGAGATGGCCGACGCCTCTGCCCACGCGGAAGACCTGTGGCTGAGCGCACCTTGCGAATGCTACCAGCGCGATAATGACTCCGGCTCGAGCCTCGTCTGTGCCAAGTATCCGACCCTCTACTCGGGCTTCGTCCTTCACTTGGAGCGCTACCGCTCAATGGCGGTTTCCTCGAGCTGGCGCGTGTGGGGATCGGGAATGGTGGCTCCTTGGTATCTGTCAGACTTGGGCTTCTAGCCCTCGAGTGCGAGTTGATGCCGCTCTGGATCAAGGCAGCTCTGCGCATAACACTGGCCTTGGTTCCAAACGCTGGGCGGGGTCCGCCACGGCGAGAGCCCGAGCTATTGATCCCGGAATCCCGGGTCTCGCGAGTCTGAGAGATGATGTTGGTCGAGCCGTAGCCACCATAGCCATCAGGCTCATCAGTCAGACGCGGCGAGTATCCGCTGCTCGCCTTGGGTGAGAAAGCAGACTCGGAGGTCTCAGAGCCTCGCTTGCCCATCCTGCTCGAGCTGTCTATGGTCCTAGGAGCCGAAGGCGCAGATAATGCTGTCCTGTACTCCGAGTCACTGACGTCGAGATCCATAAACTCGTCACCCTCATCCGTGCTGTTGCCATCAAAGCCGGCAAACAGGCTGCTGATTCTATGCGGCCTCCTGATTGCGGCAGATCGGCTTGATACTGGTCCATTGTCATTGTTGCCAGGATAAACATCTCTAGCTTCTTCTGACACAGGGGAAGAAACAACAGGCGGCGACGATGGAATATCAACGATGCTTCGCTTGCTGGTCAACCGGCGGGGGTTGCGAGGTGGTGGCACATCTCCAGGAACTGGAGTGAATTTCCGGAAGTCATCGGTGGGTAAATCTGGGGTGGGTAAAGCTGGCGAGACTGGCCTTGACGTGATCGCTGAAGGGTGCAGGTGTGGAGGCAACTTGGCCAAACGCTTGTCCACACGGATTTCCTCTGTCTGCATAGAAGATGATGCTGTAGGTGGGCTAGAGATCAAGGACACTTGGCAGCCAAAGTCTTTGGTCAACTGCGGCAAGAGAGGCTGTCTAGGTGTGCTGGGACGGCTTGAAGGAGGAATGATGCTAATGCTGGGAATCGACAGAACTGGAAGCTGGAGCGGTGGGGCAATGTCCTCTGTCTGGGTAGATGAAGAGACCATGGCAGGGATTTGAGGCTTTGGCGTTGGGGCCAAATCTTGGAAAGGCGTCCTGGGCGTCTTTGGTGGACTCAGGGGCTGTTCCAGTGTTTGAGAGGATCCATTGACCATCAAATTGCTGGTCGATGTCTTGATGGCAAGTGGCTGGCCAATTTGCACCCGCTTCTTCCTCTGGTTTGCTTCAATTTCGAGATCAGCACGGGGCGGACTGTTCATGTTGTACAATCTTTCATATCTCTGCATGAAGGGTGAGGGCTCGGGTGTTGTTGGTTTCACTGCAGTGATTGTTGGTGACGGCGGAGGCGATGGCTGAACACCAGTGTCGACGTACACAGCCTTTGGGGCTACTGACTCAGTCTCGTCATCCTCTTGAATGGTGCCGCCCTCCAGCCTCTCTAGAGCCGTAGCGCTAAAAGCAAGCCTTGATCGATGCACGCTTCCGGATCTCATCAAGCTATCATTGCTCTGTCCTCTCCTGTGCGTCTTGGACATGATGCTGTCCCGGCTCATGTTGCGTAAATGTGTGCGATGATGCCCATTAGACAGCACACTCTCCCGACCACCATAATCGCTCTCCTCGTCAAATCCGTCCAGCTCGTCGGCCAGAGAGTTCATCCCGTTCGTCTTGGGGGAAGCTAAGAGCGAAAACCTGGTGTTGCTGGTCAAACTCATGGTTCGGACACTGGCGGCATCATTCTCCCTGCCGCTCTCCTCGCCTTCGCTCTCGTGATGATTGAGTATCCCATTCTCTCCAGCGACTTGGACGGCTTGGAATGCTGTGACTTCATCAATCACCGCCTTCAGTCGACTTTCCGCAACGTGAATCTTCCGCTCCAGCTTTCTTTTCTCCTCTTCCCATTCGTCCTTTTCCTTTTCCCATTGTCGATGTACCCGTTCCGAATCCTCCTCCTGGTTCCTCAGCTTCTTCTGGGTAATGTCGAGTCGTTTTTTGGTCTCGGCAGCTGAGTCGACAGCCTCGTCACGTTCTCGAGCCAACTCACCAAGTGCCGAGGACGTTCCACCTTCCAGCAAGGCTAACTGACGTTTTAATGACCGGCTCTCCTTGTCTGTAGATACCACCCTGGCCTGAAGAGACTCGGATTCCCCTCGAACAGCATCCAATGAAGATTCCAGGCTTTCAATGAGCTTCAACTTGTCCTCCTGATCTCTTCTTAGGGACAGAATCTCCGATACCAGATTGGCATGCAACGTTGGCGTAAAACGTTTGCTGTCAATGCTGACCGGCTCATCAGAGCAAAACTCTCTCATAGACATCATCGACGCCCTATCCATCCTCTCACCATTGAGCGGTGCTGGTGATCGACTCTTTCCATTCTTCCCGGGGGGGGTCGCCGAGCGTTTTGACTTGCGTGAGCCTCGTGATACGTTTCGCGAAGGGACTCGGTAAGGTGTGTCTGCAGGTGTCGGCAAGGACGCAACCGGTACGGTCGACTCATCTTCGGTTTCCCATGCGCCAACCATCTTTGCGGCCTCTTGATATCTCGGTTCTGCAGAAAGATGCCGCCTCGTACTCGATACAGGCGAAGAAGTCTAGCACATTTCCACCAACCGATCAGTTGTCGGGTATTAGAACGGACCTCGGAAGAGGATGCAACGGTGATCACTAATGCCTTCGGACTGAGTGGCCATGTCCGCGCAGTTAGTAGTGTTCCCCAAGGTCAGTGTGTTTGAAACAGCGATCCTGCAAGATGTTGCATAAGGCACGGGGTTACCCCCACTTCCCAAACGTCAAAGCTGATGCTGTGGAATATGCGTAGGGCTTTCGTGCGCCCAGAGTTGAATTTATAGCATGATATATTATGAGATGCCGTTCTTGGGACAGGTCCGGCATTGTGAGACTTGCGTTCATGAAGGGGCGGGGCATGAAGGGTGAAACCATGTTCAACAGAAACAACTTACCAGACACTCAAGACCCAAAGGTCTTGCACTAGAGTGAGGGTTCGCAGTCGGTATTTCCAACCGGCATCCCCTCAAGGCAGTGTGGGCTTGTGAGGGGGTGGAGCTCTGGACACCTGATGGGTTTGGCTGAAGTGAGGAGGCGGGGCGAATGCGTCAAGTGTTCAACCTCAATGACGGAAGAGAAGCTACCACAAGGCATGTGTGATCAGTACATCCCATCCCGATGCTCGACCTAATGTAGGCTACCAAAGATTGCCCCTCAGGCCTGTGACCCAAGAGATCGTCGTTCGCACTTACCGAGCACCACTTGTAGCTTGACGCAGGTGATGTGTCAAGCAAAGTCTAATAGAGTTTGGAACTGGTCGGAGGAAGCCGCAAGATGCACGAACGAACCAAGGGGTATCGGGTATCAGAAAGTCAGAAACAAAAAAAACCGGAGAAGGAAGCGAAGGATCTCGTGAGCGTGAGCGTGAGTGTTGTAGGTGCGAGAGAGGGCGTATTAGCGAGTGTGAGAAAGGTATAAGTGAGGTTGAGAATGGAAAGGTAAGGCGTCGCCGGTCAGCGTCGAGATGCGATGCTCGTGAGACACGACAGACAGACAACCTCCGAACCCGAAGGGAGGAAGAAGAGAGAGACGTCGTCGACAGCTACGAGACGACGAGCATCGTGGTTTGACAAAAGTCAAGAGGCCTGGTCGAGTTATGTACGAGCTCTCCACTTTTCGTCCACTCGTTCCATCAGCAAATGGGCTGGTGGGGCCTGCCGAATGACAGCCCTGGAGCAGTTCCCACCCAGCAGACCAGGGGCTACTCGGGAAGCCACCAGGGGGCCCCCTTCCAGGCCTTTTTGGCCTGTTCCTTTTGTGACGTTCGAGTTCAAGTTTCCCGCCTGTCCCACGGCTGGCTGCAGACGGGCGACGAACACAGTCTGTGCTGCGGCAGACGGGATGAAGCGTCTGAAAGAGTATCCTCACAAGATAATCATTTCCGCCTCACCCGCCAGAAAACACGCAGCAAGAGTCTGGTCTGCTTTTGTCTGCAATGTCCGACCGAGCGTCTTGAGTGCCATCACGGACCCTGCCCAAAGCCATGTGTCGCGAATCTGAACAGCCCAGTTCGATAATTACACTACGACGCTGGCCACACGCCCGAACACCTGGGTCTGGAAAGGGGCCAGCCTTACTTAGCAATTCCTGGAGTTGATCCTCCATCATCATTGGAAAGGATGGGATACAGTTGAAACGGCCAGCAATGTGCCTGCTGCAATGAAATCACATTTTCCTGAGTTGAGCCGTTGGTTCTTCAACACTTTTTTGCATCGAGGTGGAAGGATGTCCCCTGTTTGCGCATATTCAAGTGGCCCAAGCTCTCTCAAGCTTCGAGAAAATGTCCCGAGCTTGGATCCTGGCCATCTGCAGTAGCTCGTTCATGTTCATGCAGCATCAACTGACACTTGTTGACAGGCAATGACAGCAGCCTTCTTTCTCTTCCTCGTTGTTCTGCTCCTTCAAGTCATCAGCATTCATTCATCCCATCTCTGAGGCAAACAAAGCATTGCCATGCAGTGTCGAATTAAACACGCTCTCAACCGGGGTCAACCTCGAAAAAGGGGAATGGGCTAAGCCTCTTTGGCGACAAGGCCTTCTGTGACGGGCGGCTGGCAGCGAATGGGAAGCCAGTCCAGAGCGAGACAAATTTCCAGATGTGATGGCCTGCTGCCGATCTCACGAAACCCTGGCCCGAACTTGCTCCCGAATCCGCGCACCGTGAACTTTAACTGATCCTTAAGACAGACCTGTGCGGGATCGACCGAGACCCACATCCACCCCGAAATAAGCCTCCAGATGGAGTCTTGACACAGCAACGGAGTAACATCTGGCAGTCTCATCATCAACTCGCAACAAAGACTTGAAAATTCTATGGTGGTTTCCAAGTTGGTGATGTGGTGGTGTAGGCAGTGTACATACATGTGCGAGCGTGGCGTGGCACATGTCTCAAACTTCGGGCCCAGTCGAAGGTGACCCAAAGGGGAATTGTGGAGGTCCTTAATTGCACGCAACTCCCCCCCTCCCCCACTGCGGGAGCATGCCCGCTCGCCGTACCTTATCACCGGAACGCCAGGGAACGCCAGGCCTTGGTCAACCAGCTACCTAACCGAATGAGACGGTTGTTCCTCTTTCTTGCGCGCAGGCAAGCTGAGAAGTGAGGCGAGCCGCTTGGCTTGGCCGTCATCTCGACTGGATGATATCAAAAGTTGCCTGCCATCCTTCAACAAGAGGACTCCGGAGGTTCAACGCCTGTGCCGCTGTCTGACGGGAAGCGGCATCGAAAACTGTGGATAGATATCACAGCGGGGAAGCAACGGCTTCCTCGCGGAATTCGGACTGCTGCTGCTGTGCGACAGTCAACCAAACAGGCCCATCCCCATTTAAAAGGTCCCGGCCCCGGTCCCCATCCCGATGCTACACACGTGCAAAAAGGACCCCGTTTTCCAAGATTCACCGGAGATCGGATACGGCCTCTTGCCTTGACTGTGAATGTCAGTCAGCATGATGATGAACAACAGCGCTTTCCCGGAAAATCAGATAACAGAACACATTTCTGTCTCATGGCCAATCATTTCCACAGACAGCTTTGACTGGTGAAACGGTCGTCACGCAAAAAGAAACTGGACGAAGAAGAAAACCCTTGCCCAATCCACCCACGCCAACAGCCAAGCTGCGGCGCCCGTCACGGGAGTTTGAAGATTGATTGGAAGCTCAGTACCGGGAAGGCAAGCCAGCGGCGTTGGAGGAGGGCAGCATTCACCCTCCAACAGGTTCAGCAAGTTCGAGGCCGCGTCTGCGCGACCCCGCGCCCTTTTTATTTTCAACGCGTTATTCGTCGAGCCATTGGCCAATCAGTGTTTGGGGTTTGACTGCAACAAAGTAGGAACTTTGAACTTGGTAGCGGGGTGAGTGGTGAGTGGTGAGTGGTGAGTGGTGAAGAGTTTATTACTCGAAGTTGAGGGCCAACGCGGGGACCTCGTTCAGCTCAATGGGTTTGGTCGAGGAAGACGAAGGCCAGTGTTGGGACCAGCAGGATCAGGATTTCGCAATCGAGATTTGGGAAAGTTCCCTCCCCTCATCAGTGCCCTGCCACCGAGGTTTCTTGGAGTCAAAGAGCCGAGAGGGAGGGTTTACCTGCCTCTCATCTCAACGCTCAAATGCTACGCCTCTGTTGATTACCCGGACTGACTACCCAGGCACTTGCGGTCAATGAACCCAACCGAGCCGAAAGGCTCTCTCATCCAGTGAGACCGGTGCCGAAGTGGTATTAGCAAGACGACGGTGGGGATTTGGTTGTGTCTGATGAAGTTCGGTTCATCACCTCGCCTGCCTCGCATGCGGTTGAAGTTTTTTGCTCTCCACTAGCGAGGCTGCATAGGTTATTGCAACCACGGAACGGGTTGTGGTCAAAGTCAAAACGCAGAGGGTATATTGCTCGCTACGCTGGGTTGGACGGTCCGGTTTTTGTTTGGTTTTGTTTTGTTTTCTTCAACTGTTGTTGAGTTGTTTCTTTTCCATTGTTGCTGGGTTTCACTTTCTCCAGAAACAAAAGCTTTCTCGAGTTCGCTCGCTTATAATATGTGCTTCTGTTCTGCATCACTAGCATGCTTTTTGCTGCATGAATGGGCCTTGTGCTGCAGGATTTTCCAGTGCGGTTCTGTTGTTTCTCCCTTGTCCCTGCAGCGGCAGTGCAGTGTAGGTTTGCATAGAAGGTACATACGCGCCGCTCCGCCGTAAGCTGTCACTTACATGCATACATGCAGTTGATGATGACTGCATGTTGTTTATGAGGGTCTGAAACGGAAAATGCGTTTTTATATATTGGATGGATGGATGGATGGATGGGTACGGGAGGGGTACTATGGGAAAGGGAAAGGGATGGTCGATTACTTGCAGCCGGTCCAGGTTTGTTTGTGATGCCGGTCCAGGTTTGTTTGTGATGCCGGTAGTTTGGGGGGTTGGTGCTTGGCCGATGGAATCGTCTTCGAATGACTTTGAACGATGATGTCAGGAGAATATCATGTCATGTCTCAGGATTTAATAGCCATGAGGGTTGGGAAGTAGAGACGAGTGTTTTCTGTGAGACCATGAGACTACTTCCATGAGACCGGAGGTTTTACACCTCAGCTTACAAGGGTGATAAGTATCACCGGTCTCTCGGCCCGTGATGGCAACATATCGGAGTGAAGCGACAGTCGCTTGATCTCGTGATCTATCTACCTGCTACAAGCGCACACCACCGGACAAGTGCCTGGGATGGTAGGTAGAGTTGAAACGAGACAGCCGAGACATAACTCCAGGTACCCGTGGAAAGCAAGAAATGTTCTCCTTCTGCGCCACAAGGTTGGTTTGTGGGCCGAGACATGACGGACAGAGAAATGCTTCGTCCGGCTCTGTCCGGTGGGGGCATGATTTTGGTGTCTTTTGCGTCAACACTGGACATATGGCGTGGTGAACCTAGCTCAGGAGACCAGAAGCGATACCTGCTGTTTAATGATTAGAAAACAAACAGTCT